GTCGTAGTCGTAGTCGTCGTCGTAGTCGTAGTCTCATGACACTGTTAAGGCGTTATTTTTTGGCGCCATTTTTTGACACCATGAACATGTTGTAGTTATCAGGCATCAACTTGTGACATCATTAAAACACCGCTTCTTTATCACAGTGTCAACTCATTCCCTTTGAAACCTTGAACCTTGCAGGTCTTAGGATTTTGGTAGCATGGTGGAAATAGTAAAATATTAAGCCGGTAAAACACATGGGTTGGGTGTAATTTGCCAGCCCTGACCACGTGCATTTTGGTAAAGGTGCATTTTGGAGCAATGTTGTATGGAGGCACAAAAACAAAACACAAACCCTTAAGTTAGAAAGAAAAACATGTGAAAAAAACACAATTTCCTTTGAAAGGGGTCCTTGGGGTGAAAGGCGCCCAGGATGCCATTGACCCTGAGGACCCCTTTCAAGGGAAATCTTGTTAAAAATGGTGAGCAAGTAAAAACCTTTTGGTTTGCAATTCAACGCCAAATTTGAGGTTCTTTTTTAAAAACTCAAAGACCTTTTACAACAACAAAGGCTTAGTAGTAGTAGTAGTAGTCGTCGTCGTCGTCGTCGTCGTAGTCGTAGTCGTAGTAGCAGAAGTAGTAGTAGCAGTAGGGCTTCAAGGGGGGCTTCAAGGGGGGGCTGAAGGGGTAGTAGTAGTCGTCGTCGTAGTAGTAGTAGTAGCAGTAGTAGCAGTAGGAGTAGTAGTAGTAGTAGCAGCAGGAGTAGTAGTAGTGGTAGTAGTAGTAGTAGTCGTAGTCGTAGTCGTAGTCGTAGTCGTAGTCGTAGTCGTAGTCGTAGTTGTAGTCGTAGTCGTAGTAGTAGTAGTAGTAGTAGTAGTAGTCGTCGTGGTGGTAGTAGTAGTAGTAGTAGTAGTCGTCGTCGTCATAGTAGTATACCCTTCCTTGAAAGCCCTCCTTGAAGTCTCCCCTTTTTTGTTTTTTTTGTTTTAAGCCCCCCGTTTTAAGCTCTCCCTTTGGAAGCCCCCCTTGAAGCCGACGAAGCCCCCCTTGAAGCACCCCTTGAAGCCCCCCTTGAAGCATTCCTTGAAGCCCCCCTTGAAGCCACCCTTGAAGGCTCCCCTTAAGCCCCCCTTGAAGCCCCCCCTTAAGCCCCCCCTTAAGCCCCCCCTTAAGCACCTCCTTAAGCACCCCCTTAAGTCACCCCTTAAGGGCTTCCACCCTTCAAGGGGGGGAAGGGGGGGCACCCTTCATGACCCCTTAAGCCCCCTTTAAGCCCCCCTTAAGCCTACCCTTAAGCCCACCCTTAAGCCCCCCCTTAAGCACCCCCTTAAGGGCTTCCCCCCTTCAAGGGGGGGGGAAGGGGGGGCACGCTTCATGACCCCTTAAGCCCCCTTAAGCCTCCCCTTAAGCCCCCCCTTCAAGCCCCCCTTCAACGAAGGGGGTGGGCCCGCCTTCACTCATCAAGGGTACCTCCTATGAGGTGCCTTAGCTCTAATTAGAATTTGACTCTAAATAAAGCTAATTCCCGAGAGCGTCTGAGCGCAGGGTTCTTCCAATAGTGGGGGTCTGTATCTCATCTTTTCATCTTCACACCTTCTCATCTTCACACCTTCTCTCACACCTTCTCATCTTCATCTCATCTTCTCATCTTCACATCTTCTCATCTTCATCTTCACACCTTCTCATCTTCACATCTGCTCCTCTTCACATCTGCTCCTCTTCACACATTCTCATCTTCACACCTTCTTATTTACACCTTCTCATCTTCACACCTTCTCATCTTCACATCTGCTCATTTTCACATCTTCTCATCTTCACATCTTCTCATCTTCACACCTTCTCATCTTCACATCTGCTCCTCTTCACATCTGCTCCTCTTCACACCTTCTCTCACACCTTCTCATCTTCACACCTTCTCTCACACCTTCTCATCCTCACATCTTCTCTCTCTCTCTCACTCTCTCTCTCCTCTTTTCTCTCTCCTTTCTTTCTCTCCTTTCTCCCTTTTCTCTCTCTCGCCTTCTTTATCTTTCGCTCTTTAGGCCGAGGGTGGTGCCGGCGGGGAGTCACGAAACGTGAACCCTTTCGCACGAAATGAGCTTCGATCGTCAAAAACTGAAGTAAAATTGCGATTTTACGTGTCCCCAGAGTAACCCTTTCGCACGAAATGAGCTTCGATCGTCAAAAACTGAAGTAAAATTGCGATTTTACGTGTCCCAGAGTAACCCTTTCGCACGAAATGAGCTTCGATCGTCAAAAACTGAAGTAAAATTGCGATTTTACGTGTCCCAGAGCAATCCTTTCGCACGAAATGAGGTTCGATGGTCAAAAACTGAGGTAAAATTGCGATTTTACGTGCCCCGGAGCAACCCTTTCGCACGAAATGAGCTTCGATCGTCAAAAACTGAGGTAAAATTGCGAGTTTACGTGTCCCGGAGGAACGCTTTCGCACGAAGTGAGGTTCGATCGTCAAAAACTGAGGTAAAATTGCGATTTTACGTGTCCCAGAGCAACCCTTTCGCACGAAATGAGCTTCGATCGTCAAAAACTGAGGTAAAATTGCGAGTTTACGTGTCCCGGAGCAACCCTTTTGCACGAAATGATGGTCGATCGGCGAAAACTGAGGTAAAATTGCGATTTTACTTGTCCCGGAGCATCTGTGTAAAAGTGTTTGTGTGTAAAACCTTCTGTGTGTAAAAGTCTTTGTGTGTAAACGGGTTTGTGTGTACGAGTGTTTCTGTGTAAAGATGTTTGTGTGTAAAATTGCATCTGTGTAAAAGTGTTTGTGTGTAAAAGCTTCTGTGTGTAAAAACGTCTGTGTGTAAAAGCGTCTGTATGTAAAAGTGATTGTGTGTAAAAGCGCTTGTGTGTAAAACCGTTTGTGTGTAAAAACGTTTGTGTGTCAAAGCTTCTGTGTGTAAAAGCGTCTGCGTGTAAAAACTTCTGCGTGTAAAAGCGTCTATGTGTAAAAGTGTTTGTGTGTAAAAGTGTTTGTATGTAAAAGTGTTTGTGTGTAAAAGTGCCTGTGTGTCAAAGCGTCTATGTGTAAAATCTTCTGTGTGACTGTGACTGTGTGTAAAAGTTTTTGTGTGTAAAAGCGTCTGCGTGTAAATGCTTCTGTGTGTAAAAGCTCCTGTGTGTAAAAGGCTCTTTGTTAAAAGTGTCTGTGTGTAAAAGTGTCTGTGTGTAAAAGTGTCTGTGTGTAAAAACATCTGTGTAAAAGCGTATGTGTGTAAAAACTTCTGTATGTAAAAGCTTCTGTGGGTAAAAACTTTGTGTGTAAAAGTGTCTGTGTAAAAACGTCTGTGTGTAAAAGCTTCTGTGTGTAAAAACTTTTGTGTGTACAAACGTCTGTGCGTAAAAGGGTCTGTGTGTGAAAGTGTCTGTCTGTAAAAGCTTCTGTGTGTGAAAGCTTTTGTGTGTAAAAACTTCTGTGTGTAAAAACTTCTGTGTGTAAAAGTGTTTGCGATGCAAACTATTGTCTTGCACTTCTGCTATTTTGTCTTAATACTCCTCTTCTCGACTGCCTATAACACATCTTTAATATATTGTTTCTAATATGGTGTCTCCATACTAGCAAGAGAAGACCCTGCTCCTCTACGCTCCATGGCCATCCGTCGTCTAGTTTTTTTTGGCCCTAAACCCAGATTTTCCCAGATGGTGTTATTTTTTTTTCCATGCTTTATTGGAGGTGGCTTTCATGTACTAATTCATACTGCCAGCTCATTAGATCTTACCTTGACAGTTCAAAATTTCAAAAATAATGGATGCTCTTTCTATCCAAATCCTTTATATACACCTATCCAAAATCAATCCCAAATCAACTCATCAAGGGTACGCCCCCATGAGGTGCCTCAGCACTAATTAGAGTTTGACCCTGAATAAAACTATTTTTTTTTGGCCCTAAACCCAGATTTGCCCAGATCCATGAAATGTATACTAAATCAATACTAAATCCATGACATGAGTACTAGATCAATACTAAATCCATGACATGAATACTAAATCAATACTAAATCCATCACATGAATACTAAATCAATACTAAATCCATGACATGAATACTAAATCAATCCTAAATCCATGACATGAATACTAAATCAATACTAAATCCATGACATGAATACTAAATCAATCCTAAATCCATGAAATGAATACTAAATCAATACTAAAACAATTGTTGGATTCCTTTTTTTTTTTGAAATTGCATTTTATATCTTCGTTTTAAATTGTGGTAATTGAAAACCTTTACATACAAACAAATTTGATGGTGGCCTTTAACTTTATTTAGGGAAAAGAGGGAAGGGGGGGGGGCCCACGTTTATAAATCAAAGGTGGACAGAAAAACAAGGTTTCAAAATAAACAACGTGCACTGGCGGGGTTTGGCTGGAGGGAGGTTCGGTAATCCATGATATATTATAATGAATCCAACCAGCAAAATGGGCGAACAAAATCAACAAAACACGGTTCGAAAACTGGAATTGTTGCGACGTTTGGACATGTTCAAATATATGTGTTTTGTTTTTGCGTGTCAAATTGTAATGAAAAGGAGTGTTTGACCGAAATTTGGTTGACAATCTCACTGGAAAAAAGCACCTTATTCTTCACAGCAACGATTGTTGTGTCAATTTTGATTTGATAGAATGTTTTTCGGGTCAATTGCACATCAAGAGATTTAAATTTGAGGTTAAATTTGAGGAAAAATGTGGGCACACCATCATTTGTGTAGTGTGCCGAGCTGCTGCTGGGCATCCATTCTGGAAATCTGGGGCATGTCACAAGAGAATCAATTCATGCTGAACATGGACATGCCTGTTGAGAGCTTAAAGTGAACCTCCTGCAAGGACGTCTTTTTTTCTCGGACTGCTCTCCTGTCGGAACAGGAACAGTCCTGCTGACAAAGAAACAACAGAAATTAGCGGGATTTAGGATTTTGACAAGTACAGCAACAACACATGATATCATCACTTACGTTGCATGACTTTGAACCCTTAAAACATTTCGTTTGCTTTGGTGTTTTGGCCCTGTCGGCCTTTGTTCTTGTTGGTCACATCAGTTGGCTTTGACTGTTGCAGCCTGATGGAGTGTGGAAGGGAAAGACGAGTATGGGACTGCAGGAGATCTGATGTTTGATAACGTTGGGGCATTCGCTGAATGTCCTAGCCATTACCGGTGCGCAGATTGCGCGACAATCACATCTCTGATCAAATTCATTTCATGAGGTCGACATGATTTCAGCATGGGTAGCAAACAAAGAAACGCTGCAGGAAAACACAAACGTTGTCGGAGTATGTCGGAGTACATCCTCTTTCGTCTAGAACACATGTCTTCATTTTTGCCGAACACATCAATGAACTGTTTCCAGGATGCCAATGCTGCTATCAGTCCCTCGGATGTGTTTGTCCTGTGCGTCACCGAACTGTCAACATATGGAATAGTTCAACATGTTCAACGCTGCGCAGCTTCAGATGATTCAGATATTTGGAAAACTTTGGGATTGTTGTGCAGCCGCTAGATCTCATATCACTAGATTTATCGCTTCACCAAGGTTCAGCAGGGCGACGGTCCAAGTGGAGGGAAGCACTGCAACTTTTTCAGGCGTCATGCTTGTCTGTTTCGCCTGTTCGATTCTTTGGGTTACCAACAAAAAAAAAACCCAAAAACATGAAACATCTATGATAATGTTAACATAGGATTAATTTCCCCCCGGATTAAACAACGACAACTGCCCCATTTTTTTTGGTAATTTAAAAACAGGTGGTCCCCCTGGATTAATAATTTTTTCGGCCTGGTATGATTAATCAACCACCAGTGCTGAAACCCCATGTTTTTTGGAACGTTTTTTGGAACAAATTCTTTATTTCCAATTCTTTTTGTTTCTCATCATGTTTGATCAATCCTTTCAAACCCCATGGAATCTTATGGGTTCCATGAGATTTTAACAATCAAATCTTATCAAACCCAATGGAATCTTATGGGATTCATGAGATTTTAACAATCAAATCTTATCAAACCCAATGGAATCTTATGGGATTCATGAGATTTTAACAATCAAATCTTATCAAATCCAATGGAATCTTATGGGTTCCATGAGATTTTAACAATCAAATCTTATCAAATCCAGTGGAATCTTATGGGTTCCACGAGATTTTAACAATCAAATCGTATCAAATCCAATGGAATCTTATGGGTTCCATGAGATTTTAACAATAAAATCTTATGAAATACAGTGGAATCTTATGGGTTCCATGAAATTTTTACAGTCAAATCTTACCCAATGGAATCCTATGGGGTTCATGAGATATTAAGTTTCAATTCTTGTCAAATCCAAAATTTTATGGTTCAGAGGGCGTTTATTTAGGGGGGAAACTAGGAAAGACCTTACAAGGTCCATCTGACCTTGTGGGGGGGGAGGGTTGATTAATCCTACGTTGACATTACTCAGCAAGATCAGTCTTTTTTCCAATATCTTGGACACTGCGATGTACTGCGATCCTTCCAGCAGGAAGACACTGAGACTTGGGCCAGAAGTGGAGCTATCCTGGTGTTGGAGCCGTCCCGCGGATGACCTGAATGATCCAGACTTTAGAGTTTTCCAACTGATTTTTAGATCCAACCAAATGACTTGCCTTGAATCCCGAGCACGAAATGCCTCAAATTCTGGAGGGAACATCTTTCAACCTTCCAACCACATCCAACCACATCCAACAGTTCCACAGCCAGGATCTACAGTCTGCCTTGCGCCCCAGTGCTGTGTCCTTCGGCGCTTGTATCAATGCCCTGGGCCGAGCCAAACAGTGGCAGAGGACTCTTGGATTGGATAGCTTTGGGCGCAGAGATTTGGGCGATTGCTATTTGGAGGTAGCCATCAATTTGGTGGGGCTCTCACCTGGATTTGATTTTTTTTGGCAAGTCGAGGATTCTGCTGCATGGACAAAGAACACATGCCTGATCTTTGTCGAAGAGCTTTGATCAAAAGTGGGGTTGGGTCAAAATTGAAGACCTCCAACCCAGTTGTTTTTTTGCACTACACAACCCTTCATGTTTTCGTTTGGACACAGTTGTTTTTTGTGTATCCAATCGATTTCTCCTAGGAAGGATCAAACTTTAGTCAGCTGCACCATGATGGCCGAAACCTGATCATCGTCAGGAAAGGTTCAAATGGTGGCGAACATGGAAATGGACATATGGAAACCCTTCCCAGAAACTCTTCCCTTTCCTCCCAGAAAAACATCGAAAAACCACGGTTAAACATGTTTTTTTCCATTATTTTCGCAGAGTGTTAAGGTGATCTCTCAACATTTTTTTCTCTCGTTTTTTGCAATTTGTTTTTCCATCTTCCATCATTTTCCAGTCCGAGGAGCCTCCAGCTGTTGCAGCAGCTGCGGGCGTCCGGCCTGGCGTTTGGCGTCATCGAGTGCTGCGGCGCATTGAAGTCCTGCAGTGGAGCCTCAGAGTGGCAGCAGGGTTTGGAGATCTTGGAGCTGATGGGTGGCGCGGAAGAATGGTGTCATGTTGATGTGGAACGATGTGGAATGATGGGTATATTAATCCATGTATTACACGTATATTATACAGATACATATCTAATCAAGTCATGTCCAGCTATTCTATGTATACATTGTATATATATATATATTATATATATATATACATACATACATAGATAAATACATACATACATACATACATACATACATACATCCAGGCTGGCAGGCAGGCAGGCAGGCAGACAGCCAGCCAGACAGACAGACAGACATACATACATACACACACATATCCTCCGACTAAGCTTATTACATGTTTATTATATAATAGTACACAACATGATACAAACAGAACTATATATACATACATATATAAATATATACATACATATATAAATATATACATACATATATAAATATATACATACATATATAAATATATACATACATATATAAATATATACATACATATAAATATATACATATACATATATAAATATATATATATATGTATATATATATACATACATGCATACATATGTACATGCATTTGGCATGTATGTTTGAATGAGAGAACACATGGTTTCCTGTAGGTTTTTCTTGAAAATCAAGGCATTGCGAATCAAGAAGGTGTTTTTGTAGGTGAATCATGAACTGAACATGATCTAAACTTGGCACAGGGAAGTGCAAAGATTCAGCAGAGGGATATCTGCAATATCCCAATATCAAGAACAGATATAGAGGATGTATGCAAGTCGTGTGGGGAAATCCAAGCACTCCAACTCCACAAAAATTGAGCCAGCCGGGGACTCCCAACAGCATGGCTTTTGATGCCATGCGGTGCATTAGTGGTTACAAACATGTAGGTTGCACCCACATTGGAATCCCCCCAAAAATGTGTTTGGAAGATGATTTTCCTATTGTCCATGGCCATTTGTTGTTTCCGTGTTTAACTCAGTGGGTGGCCATGGCTGGGTGCTTTTCCAACCACGAGACTGTGGCAACCGTCTGGAGGTCCTTTCTAGCAATAAGACATCTTCTCTCTATCCCAGGTGACTTGCAGATTGAGCTTGATGTGGTCGCATGCAATACAGCGCTGACTGTATGCGATGTCCAATGGCAAAGGGCTTTAGATATCCTACAGCAGACGCAGGACTCGGTATTTGCAAGAGATTCTAATTGGAATATTCTATTGGTATGACATCGCCCAGATTCTAATTGCATTTTTGGATACTTTTGGAATGATTACATTGTCGGCATCAATTTGTTGATCAAATTGGTCTCCTGGGCGACGAAGATGATGAAGAACCCAGGATCGTGAGATCTCCACCTTGATCACCTACAGTTCCGCCATTAGTTGCTGTGAGAAAGCACGCAAGGCGAGCTCCTGGTCATACCAATTCTGCATACATTTCCAGCGGCAAACAAAGTTGAGAGGGGTCAAAAAGTGGCCCAGGCCAAAGGGATCCAAAAGGTTTCGATGCTAAAGTGGAACATTCAAACATATTGTGAAGATTTGTGAAGAAGCGCCACTTTGTCCACACCCCATGTGACAGCATGGCTTAAATCGGCTTGAACCCAGGCGGCCGTGGCTGTGGATCTGTTTGAAGAGTTGCGAATGGCTGGATCCCCAGTCCTTATCCGATGGGATTTGCAGGGAGCGGTTTGGAGCTATCGGGATCTATGAAACGAAATAGGGAGAGGGAGCCAACTGGACTCATACCATCCCCATGTTGGTAGCATTCTATCCCCGCTTCCAGTATGGTTGGTTTGATGTCCCATTCAAAGGCAAGTTTCGGAAAAAAAACACATATTGTCCATTTTTATCACATCTTAAAGATTTTTTAGATGGTATTAAACATATATTAAACATTATTAAACCTCATTTTTGGCGCTTAATTTCCCCTCTCACCATGTTTTCACAAGCCATGAACCCAACAGCAAGGCCGGACATGAAGCCAACACCATCGCCTTCAGCGCCGCCGTGAGTGCCTGCGAGAAGGTTGCAATGGGATTTTTTTTTTTTTCGGATCATCCATTGGAATGGTCATTCATCCATTTCATAAGGATTTTCGGGATGTTCATTATATACCAATTCTAAATATCATTTGGGGAACATCTGGAAACATTCTTAATTAAGCGGAAACCATGGTGTAAAAAAAACACAAAATACATACAGAGAGTTTTTTTGGTAAATTTCCCATTTGACACACCCATCTAATATACGAATCATAAATAAAAATAAGGATTCCCATGATGGGACGGGTCACCATAAATTGACCTATCTCCAAATGATAGAGAAACCAAGCAGCTTTGATGCGCACCAAACCATTTTCGGTAGCCAAGCGTGAACCGTTGCCGATCAGGGAGGGGTCCAAAGTTTGACCACCCAATATATCCATTGCCAGCGGGAACCGTAGCCTTTGGGAACAGTGGGCTAACACCTGTAGCTGTTCATCACATGCCCCAAACAGCTGAAATTGACATGGCAACCCACCTGCGCAGGGGCAACAGTGGCTGGCTGCACTGCGCCTGCTGCAGCAACCGTGTCTCGGTTCGGAGCTGTGGTATCCATACGAAACAATTTATGAAGAGGAATTGAGTGTCCCTACCACATGATTGACGGATATAATTGATATAATATCTAATTTTCTAATGGATGATATTCCCTTTATTGTTGGTTACCAGTTTTGCTGGTCCTGTACCAAGATTTTCCACTTCAATCCGATCCAATTCTGCATCCAAGTCATCCAGTGCCAGGGCGATGCAGTTTCTGCAGCGTGACGTGGTGCTGCTGGGCGCTCAACTTTCATCCTTGGGTGCAGGGCAGCGCTGGCGCCAAGCCGAAGAGCCCCTTGCAGATCGAGTCAGATTGAGCCGATGGATCCGATGGTTTTTGGATCGGGTCATCGGTGGAATTTCCATGGCTTTTTCATGGCTTTTCCATAGCTTTTGATGGTGTGTCATAGCCGAAAATTCGCCTGAAAGTAGACGATTTATGGTGATTTACCTATGACACATGGCCGTGTTAGATTACCAGAGGGTAAGTCGGTGGAAAATACAATAGCTACAAATAGCTACAACTACTATATAACAACACCCGAAAAGATAGAAAAGTAAGATTTTTCTAGAGTAGTGAGAGTGGCAATTAATTTTTCTATCCTCCTTTTCTTGTGTTGCTACAACTGGTATATAATGTGTTTGATCCAGATACCAACCATTTGGGTTTGTCCAACGGTGAGGGGATACCTCCGAAAATTGCCATTGAAGAATGGTGAAATTGATGATCAGCCATGCGATTCTTGGGTACATCCTATTTTTGGACAAACCACAATTGACTGAAAGCATAATATTGCGGGTGGATTGCCAAAACCACCCCAGAAAAGCGGTAGCCCAAAGACCCAAAGATGAAGTCAGATGACAGTCCACTCAGCATTCCTCGGATTCGGAAGGATCTTATCACTGTGGATGACATACAATTGCAATACAATCTCCTTGAGCCAACCCTAAACTATCAAGAGGTTTTTGGCTGCTAGAAGGGTCACTCACCTGCAATGAGGCTTCACACTTCCATGGCGGCGAGTGCTTTGAGAACCAACCGCATCTGTGGCAACGCGCTGTTGTCAGCGTACGATGCTGGGTTCAATGGGGGGCTTTTGGTATGGTGGGCCAGGGGCAGGAGGCCCCTGTCACGCGTGGTCCATGGATGTGACACGAAACGGTTTCTAAGCGACGAATAGACAACATGGTTCATTTTTAGCGGTTGATCAGTTGATCATCCAATTTTCCTGGTGTTTTCGAAGCCTTTCGAAGCCCCTTTTATTGCACTGCATTGGTCTTGTTCCGAAGCATCTCTTGACCGAGGAGAAGCCTCTACAGTGGCGGAAGGCACTGGAGGCCTTTGGGGCTCTGGAATGTCTACAGCCTGATGCAGTGCCCGGAACCAACAGGAAGGAGGGGAGGTCACGACCCCGTTTGAAGGTTTAGGCCGCCAACACCACTGGAGGTTGAACCACTAGACATGGTACTGCCATGTTGAAGTCGCAAGAATGGCTGTAGATTTGGGTCCCCAAATCTACAGATGATCAAAGGGGGATATTTTGCTTAATTTGCAGTTTGAGAATTTACTTTTACCCATCAGGGTCCTGCCGTCACTGTGAGCCGCCAAGTCCTTTGTGAACAAAGGAGCAAAAAGGTAGCAATCGTCTTTCAGCGGACCACAGTCCAGTCTGGTGAGGACATTATTCGCTCATTCCCAGGTCCATTTCACAAGTGTTTATGACGCCTAGCCTTTCCTCGTCACCGTTTATCTTCTTCCGATTCTCTGATAAGATGAAATAGATATACTTTCAGATGGCTGTTCCTTCAGATTGTTTCCCCATTTTCTTTGGTAGTCAGGAAATTGAGGATGACTATTTGGGTTTGCTCAAAGCTGATCGATTCATAAGCCAAAATGCAGTTTTATGTGAAAACCTCTCAACGAACATCACTTTAATTCCTTTGGTTCGTGAAAAGTACGTAGGCAATAAACCATATATAGAAATATATACACATATACATATACATATACATATACATATACATATATATATACATATATATATTTATATACACATATATATACACACACATATATATATATACATACATATATATATAATATACACATACGTATATATATATATATAAAATATGTATATATATATATGTATAAACATTATATACATATGTCTCTCTAACTGGGTTTGTTTCCCCACTGGGTTCCATCCCAAGCCTCATCTGAGGTGAGCTTCAGTGCCAGCATCAGCTGTGTGGAGAAGTGCCAGCAGTGGCATTTGGCACTGCACCTTTGTGCCGCAGGTGGGAGGATTTTCCCCATGGATCCAGGGGACTGCCGTGATACGTCAGAAAAATACGAGGGATTTTTCATGGATTCTAGCCAGAAAGATAGGGGATTGAAGCAAGAAGAAATCCACATAACATAGGGGATTTATTCCACAACAATTGGGTCCGACGGGACTAAAATGAAGATAAAACCAACAACTGTTTCTGGTGGCCGCTGTTGTGTGCTTGCTTGTTGGTTATTTTAACCTTTTTTAACCTATGGTTGAGGGTGACACTTTCTAGCGGCATACCTGGACCTAGAAGCTATGGCCTGGGACCTGGGCTTAAGGACATGACAAACCTATGGATTCCCAAACTACTTGATTGTTGATCATCAGATTCCCTACGAAATCGGGGGGTAACCTTCATTTTCAGAAAGACCCATATGCCATATACCTCTATACATTCTTATGATATCTCCTGTCCCCAAAACAGGCTAACGACAATCGACCAAGCCTAGATTTTGGGTGCCAGGTCCCAGGTCTCAAGTCGCCCTGCATGGTGCGATGACCGCATGCGCCGGCCGCGCCTGGATACACACCTTGGGACTCTTGAGGCTCGGTGCAGCCGGTGCAAAGCTGATTCTTGGGGGATGGATTGGGTATGGCCAATCCCATCCTATCTATTAAACACCCCCCATGTTACCCATGTTGTATGGTCCCAAATATGTGTAATTTCCCCACTAAACCCTGGTTTCTGGGAGGGGTTTAATATTGCGGGAAAGGGATTAGTTTGGCCAGGTTTTGTCGGAGGTCGGGCTCAAATTCTTCACCCATTTGTAAGGCTAACATTGGGGGATTTCACATGCCCCAACCTGGTGCTTCGGGAAGTCAAAATTTGACTGCAGATTCAGACTGGCACTTTGCGCCCGTTTCCTCAAGAATGTTGCTCTTGTGGTTATAGGGCACACTTACTTGCATAGCCTACCCTCTGGTAATTTAACATAGCTATTGAAAATGACCATTTATAGTGGATTTACCCATTAAAAATGGTGATTTTCCATAGCTATGTTAGTTCACCAGAGGGTAGCTAGTCAAACAATCATTATGCTACTGCTTTTCCTGCGTGGTCATCATGTTTGCCCAGGCGAATGAAGCAGCTCAAGCTGGCAGCCAACAACGTGACCTACACCGCCATCTTGGAGGCGTATTTTTTTCCCCCACAATTTGGAAGCCGATTCTTCCAAAGAGGTATTACTCAAATTCCCAAAGGTGACCAAAGGTGATTTTATGATATTTTATGAGGGTTGGATCAACAAAGGAAAGATATTTAACAAAATGCCCGACGGTTTTCCATTCCCACCAGAGGCAAAGCAATTTTTTCAGTTGATCCAGATGTCAAAACCAGGCCTGTCAGGGTCGAAGTACACCGGGCGGGCAGCTGCGGCTGCTGTCGGAGATGAAAGCCAGTTGGTGCAGCTTAGATGCTGCGACTTGGAGATGATTTCTAAAATGGGGGATGAGGCCCCGAATTTATGGCAAAAACAGGAATAAGTGATGAGAAACCATTGGATTTTGAAGATTTTTAGGGGTGCATGATTTTTGAGGACAAACAGGATGCAACCTGGAAAGAAGGGTCCATATGGATCAAACTTAGGGTTTCTTGGTGAAGATATACACATTTTGAGGCAGACCGAAGTATATGGGTCAACAGTCAACAGTTGACTGCGCAAAACTTTGATGGGTCGAGAATGTCGAAATCAGCAAAGCCTGGTCTTGGTGGGTTTTTTAAGCCGCCCAGCATTTTCCCGCAGTTGCATGGCGAAAGCCGTCCAGTATTTTCCACAGGTGCGTAGCCAGAAGAAAGGGGGAAACCATGCAGATATTTATGATGATATGCCATGAATTCCATGGATTGTACAGCTGGCACTGATCCAAGTACTCGTTGGGCCGCTGTGGCGTGACCCACCAGTGACCTGCGAAGCCTGCACCTTCCCAGGTTGCCTACACAGCAGCCGCCGATGCGTGTGACCTGTCTGGGGACCATGGCTTATTGCTGGATTGGTTTCTTGGCTGAAGGCAGATTTTATCCAAGAATGCCACTGGAAAAGAGTGAAAGGTTTTTGAAGCGGCCGCAGGTTCTTTCCTCACAAAAGTCTCTTTATTATATTCTTGAGATGAACGAGTATATTGATTGTCATTTTGGAAGGAAGTAGGTGCCCAATATACTGGCAGGCAGCGCATGCTTTGAGGCTTGCAAACTGCGAAAGAAGCAGCCTATTGCTTTTGACCTGAGGGGAAGCCAGTGGCGAACCAGCCACCGGTACCTCCTGTGTACTTGAAAGAGGGTTGCTGGGTTGCAGCAGCCAAGCCGATTATTTTATTGCATTATATGTATACAAATATACTGTATATATATATATACTGAATATATGTATATAGTATATATATATATTTATACACTGTAGATGCGTGTGTATATATATATATACCCATACATTATAGAGTATATATATACATATATATATATATATATATATACATATTATAATATATATATATATATGTACATAGATGTATTCTATATATATACACATATTTATATAGATATTATATATATATATTTATAGATATAAGAAACATGTAGATGATATATATATAATATCTATAGATAATATATATATATGGTACCCCCTCCCCCCAAGACCTACCAATTTCACAAAAGTACTGGTATTTACAGTAAAAATTGCTATTTTTGGTATGTAATTTTGGATTCCGGGATTTGGGGGATGTTATATAGTGTATATATACATATATATATATATACATAGAGGATTCAAGCCTTGAATCCAACCCTTGTGGGAATCTTGGATCTTGGATCTTGAATCTTGCAAAGAATGCATTCAGAATGCATTCTTTCGGCAGGATTCAAGATTCAAGATTCAAGATTTCTGAGGACTCTTTGGGGCAAATCTTGAATCCGGATTCAAGATTCAAGATTCAAGATTTCTGGGGACTCTTTGGGGCAAATCTTGAATCCGGATTCAAGATTCAAGATTTCTGGGGACTCTTTGGGGCAAATCTAGAATCCAGGATTCAAGATTCAAGATTCAAGATTTCTGGGGACTCTTTCCAGCAAATCTTGAATCCGGATTCAAGATTCAAGATTCAAGATTCCTGAGGACTTTTTCCAGCAAATCTTGAATCCAGGGTTCAAGATTCAAGATTTCTGGGGACTCTTTGGGGCAAATCTTGAATCCGGATTCAAGATTCAAGATTCAAGATTTCTGATTTCTGGGGACTCTTTGGGGCAAATCTTGAATCTTGAATCCTGGATTCAAGATTTGCTGGAAAGAGTCCTCAGGAATCTTGAATCTTGAATCCTGGATTCAAGATTTGCCCCAAAGAGTCCCCAGAAATCTTGAATCTTGAATCTTGAATCCTGGATTCAAGATTTGCTGGAAAGAGTCCCCAGGAATCTTGAATCTTGAATCTTGAATCCTGGATTCAAGATTTGCCCCAAAGAGTCCCCAGAAATCTTGAATCTTGAATCTTGAATCCTGGATTCAAGATTTGCTGGAAAGAGTCCTCAGGAATCTTGAAGCTTGAATCTTGAATCCAGGGGGTGGATTCAAGATTTGCTCCAAAGAGTCCCTAGAAATCTTGAATCTTGAATCTTGAATCCTGCCGAAAGAATGCATTCTGAATGCATTCTTTGCAAGATTCAAAATCCAAGATCCAAGTTTCCCGCAAGACTTTTGATCAAAATCTTGGATTTCTAAAGAAGTTTCATAGGGACTAGTAAGAGTATTCTGGCAAATTCCAAACCCAAGATTTGCACAAGACTTCTCCGCAATTCTTAGATCTTGGATCTTAGATCTTGGGAAGAATGCATGATCAAAATCTTGGATTCCTAAAGAATTTTCATAGGGATTGGTAAGAGTATTCTGGCAAATTCCAAACCCAAGATTTGCACAAGACTTCTCCGCAATTCTTAGATCTTGGATCTTAGATATTGGGAAGAATGCATTCTGGATGCATTCCTTTAGGCTGGAAAAGACATAAATACAATTCCTGCCATCCATTGTCACTGCTCCATTCTTGCAATCCATTGTCACTGCCCCAGTGCCATTCTTGTTCTCAGCTTTCATCGCTTCCCCTCTTATTTGCCATGGCGTTCTTCAACGTGACCGGCACGGTGAATATGTCGCAAGGCAAGGCCATCATGACATTGACACCAGAGCCTGACATCAAAGTGACCATGACTCGACCGTCAACATCTCAGCTCCTGGAAAAAATCGGAGCAGGAACAGTCAAGGTTCATGACAGCCGCCATCCAGTTGCAAAGAGAGACCTGACGACTATGATGGGCACGATTCAAAGGCAACTGCGCCTGCGTCCGGGAGGTGATGGTGAATGGAGTGCAGATGCCCAGCAGCGCTTAGAAAACTTACTGGCCAATCCGAAAAGGAGCACTGCAACTGTGCAATTGGCCTTGGAAGATGTGAAGCCATCATCCTCCAGTTCCACTTTGGAAGAGAAGAAGCCAGCATCCTCGTCTTCCACATCCGATTCCGATTCGGATTCATCATCTTCCGAAGGTCCACAACATCAGGCAGATGCTGAACTCGAGAAGAAAAGCAAGGAAGTGATCAAATGGAAAGAGGAGTTTGAGGGGATTTTCTCGGCATTGCATCACACCTCTTGCGAGCTTGCGAAGGCAACCGCTCAGATTGAGGAGCAGAATGAGATCATCGCAGGGCTGTCTCAGGAAAATGCCGCTTTGCGGCGCCGGCTACAGCCGGAAAACGCCGCGGATATCCCTATGGATATGGATGAATCTTTGGCTGCTGAAGCTTCGTCTCCTGACTCTTCTGATCATGAAATGGCATCCGATTGATGTCGCTGAGACAAGGGCATGCGGGTTGAAAAAGATGTATCTCTCATTGTGTCCGCTTGATGCACACTGAAAAGAAAAGCAGTCTGGCGCTAGAGCCTTGAGCCTTAGCATTATATGTATACATACTTAGAGATATGTCCTTGGCATGCACGTGTGGCAGCGAAAGTACTTGGGAAGGTCTGATTGTTTTGAACATGCTGGCAGTTGACATTCAACATTCAATTCATGTGTGGATTCTTGTCACTCTCGTATTTCTTCTCTGCTGTGTCACATGAGCCCAAACCTGTCCGCCCCAGTCTTGTCTTGTGCACCGCGCCGTGCTCCCCTTTGATTGCAATGGCTGGAACATTGATGGATAAGGCAATCCAAGCATTGGGAAAGAAACCGTTATATCTACGACCCTTGGAAGAAGCCAAATGTGGGATTGTCGAAGTGGAAGAGCCCATCACATGCATTGGATTCACCACTGATGCGTGCAGACCTTTGCAAAAGGGTGTGAAATCCATTACAGTTCTCTTTGATTTCCACAATGACATACCCTCATGTGGCGAACCAGTCGACATTGGCCAGATCGCTATGCAATATCGATGGGATGATTTACCTGAACCCATCCGTTTCAAAGGCACTCCTCCGAGTACAACCAAAATGGACTTCGTGCATGTGACCATGGCGAATGGAAACGTAGATGTTCTCAAAGTGCTCTATCTGCCACGTCCGATGTCCTTTCAAGCTGCCGAAGCTTTGTGCAGTGGGAAAGCTTATATTCCAGTCTTTAGATCGGGGCCCTGGAACATCAAAAAGGGAGTGCAGTGGCTTCTCAATCATTTGGGAGGGTATCAACTTAGATGGTTTGCCCTTGAAGAGAAGACCCAGGCGGAGCATTCCTCAAAACCTACCTGGTCACCATCAAGGTCTGAGCTGGAAGAAGGCATCTACCATATCAATGCATTTGCCCCAGAATGTGACGCTCTCAACGAGCAAACACTGTGGATCCTGCTCAACATCAAGCCTGACTCAAGCACACCTATTGCAGGATGGCCGGAGGCGAAGGTACGGCAAATGTGCCAAAACAAAAGCAAGGGGCTTGGAGGTGCTGTGAGTATGACCGAGTTTCCCCTCACAACCTATAGCCTGAAGCCATTCTTGCACACTATCTTGCTACCATACTTGTATCCACTGCTCATCAACTTTGGCCTCTTGCTGCTGGGTTGTCCTGGTGTGGGGAAAACGCCCTTTGTGATCACTCTGGCAATGGCGCTTGGTCGTTACCACGTTCGTCGATCTGGATGTGAAGGCCTGAAGGCTGGTTGGCGCCGAGCCAAATCCCTGGACAACTTCAGGCACAAAGCCCCTCAGGTTCAAGAGGCTCTCTTTCTAGACGACCCCGATCGAAGCAAGGTGTGCATAGCCGACCTGAAGAGTTTCCTTACATGTGATGAGGATGGAACGGTTGAGTCCAGGTACAACGATACCAAGATGTTACGGAATCAAATGAGGGCCTATGCGTCCAATGACTTGGCAGAAGAAAGATTTGATTGCAATGCAGGTGACACAGTGATTTCTGAAGCCAACTTCTTTAGCTTGCTTGATGAATTCTTCCGCGGTGACAGAGAGAAAGATGTCTTGGCAGTACTGAAACGCTCCATTGTCTTCATGTTCGGCAACCACGCTCTCTACCTTCGTTTGCCAAGTGCACATAGAGATGCCATTGTGCATCGGATTTGCCTGGAGGACGTGCATCTTGACTTGCTAGGTGAGCGGGACAAACCTTTGTATGGAAAGTACAAGGGAGGTACGATGGAGACTGGATCAAACTTTGATGCAGAGATTCTCCAGGAACAGGAAGTCTTGGAGGAAGGATTTCAGAAGATTGCAGGATATGAAAACCTGCAGGATTATGTTGCTTATGTGAACCACAAGCTTCAGGACAAACTTCTTTTCCGCAGTGCCCATGTTGTGCCACCATCATCCTGCCCTTCTACTCCAGAAGCCAATATGGATGTGATCTGCCCTGTGCCTCCCATTGGCACTCAACCCTCGGGGCGTCGCCGTGGCAATTTCGTCTATCCCGATCGTCGACTACGGGCCAAGACTTCTCCACCACCATCGCAGCACATTGAGGAGTTGGCTGAGGATGCAGAAGCTGCATACCAAGATCCCATGGAAGCGGAGCCTGAGGAACCGAAGAGTATGGATTTAGAGGCTGATGAAGAGGCAGCCCACTACATGGGACTGAATGGCATGTAGACAAGTAGCCTATAATTCGAATGCAGTAGATTCGTACAATAGCAAGATAGACTTGCGAAGTCGTGTCCGAGGGGAGAAGAAAAAAAAGGAACATAGCCATCGCACGAAAAGGTTATGTTGTCGGTGTTGTGCAATCAAGGTCCGCTGTCTCCATCGAAGCACAAGTAATTGCAAGCGAAGCGAGCATCCATTCATGCATATTGCACTGCAGCATACAGCTCAACTCTTGTGTTCCATATAGCCATCACTCAAGGCCATTGCGCTATGCGTTCCAAATTCAATCCATTCCCGGCACCAAAGAAGGGCAAATCTCGTATGGTCTTGAAACGCCCAGCTTCTCAGAAGACGAAGGCAAAGTCTTGGCAGAATGTACCGTATACAAGGGGTGCTGCGGATGTTGGTCCGCGGGGTCTTCGCATGGACCAGACAAAGTGGAAGAGGTCCTTGCCAGACATCCTCCATGCGACCGACAAGGGGATCGTGCAGATGTTGATGCAGGATGGCTTGTTGCCTGATTGGCGTGGCAAAACTTGTCCTCGGTGTGAGAAGGGGAAGCTACGCGGTTGGGTGCAGAAGCCTGGTGACTCATCCCCTAAGCTTCGCTGCAATTCCAGGGGGTGCCAGGTCTACTTCAATCCGCATCACTTGCACCCTCTGTTTACAGAAGGTTATGGTGTGGCAGGTAGCCCCTTGCAGACTCAGGCTGCCCTATTACTTCTCAAAATCAACAACATTCCAAACTCCACCATCCACAGGCTCATGCATGTGAATCACAAGGCCATCGAGGACTTGGACAAGCGATTGGCTTTACTACGCAAGGAGTATGTGGAGGAGAAGGAGAAAGAGATTGTCTTCGGCAACGGAGCAGCGTGGCAGGATGTCGAGGCAGACGAAACTACATTCGACAAGAAGACTATCACTGATGTGTCAGAGCTGGGCAACACCAAGAAGCCAATTGAGTGGGAACAATGGTGTGGTATTGTTCAGCGAGGGAAGCCGGAGTCGTTGGTCTTGCATCGTCTGAAGCCTGTTCGTACAGATGCACGTGCACCGGGACCCGGTGCAGTACGCAAAGTCGAGTGGCGTCCCCTTGCTGACCATTGGCTGAAGAACAGAAAGGTTGTGTTGCACACGGATTCTGCCAAGAGTTATAGGGTCCGTGTTGCAGGGGTGTTGCACGATCGAGTAGTCCATTGCAAAAAACGCGTGAAAGTACGCGGCAAATGGAAATGGCAGGCGCCACGATATGTCAAAGTAGTGGAACACAAGCTTCCAGGCACAAATAAAAAGATCCGTGTGAAAGCTGGCACCCAAGTGATTGACCGCTGCTGGCGTTTCTTAAAGGAGCATCTCAGCCTTAATCAAAATACAAAAGCCGGGTCGAGCCTGCTGAGATCCAAACTCCGATCTGCTCAGTATCAGTATTGGTACAAAAATGCAGACATGTGGGTGGCGACCGGATCTCTGTGCCAATGGGCCGCAAAGCGCCTTATGGGCAAGAAGTGAGCCGTAGAGCTTTGGGGAAAAATGCATTGCAATATATTGCTTCGGGTCTTCCGTGTTCACAATCGTGCCGAAAGCTTCTTTTTGATCCAATTTCTGCCAGGTCTTCTTCATGGAATATGTCTCGATTGGTGTCTCGTTGTTCCTCGGTCCAATTGAGTTATGCGCTATGATAATGCTACACATGGGCTCATGCATCCAAAGCAATACATTCTCTGTCCTTTCCCACCCACCCAGGTGCTCTCAGTGTTCATGCACCTACGTGGTCAGTTTCTTCACATGTGCTATGCTACAGCTACATATGTGGGCAAGATGTGTCCAGGTGCATGCGTACAAGCTACTTTCCTGATGCAGTGTTACAATAGGTGAGAAGATAAGGAGAAAGACAAGGCAGCCAAGGACATATCTGGTACACAAAATGTCTCGTGTCTTGTTTGTCCTTTCCCACCCACCCAGGTGCTCTCAGTGTTCATGCACCTACGTGGTCAGTTTCTTCACATGTGCTATGCTACAGCTACATATGTGGGCGAGATGTGTCCAGGTGCATGCGCATAAGCTACTTTCCTGATGCAGTGTTGCGATAGGTGAGAAGATGAGAAGAAAGACAAGGCAGCCAAGGACATATCTGGTACACAAAATGTCTAGTGTATTGCTTGTCCTTTCCCACCCACCCAGGTGCTCTCAGTGTTCATGCACCTACGTGGTCAGTTTCTTCACATGTGCTATGCTACAGCTACATATGTGGGCGAGATGTGTCCAGGTGCATGCGCACAAGCTACTTTCCTGATGCAGTGTTGCAATAGGTGAGAAGATGAGAAGAAAGACAAGGCAGCCAAGGACATACCTAATACAAAAAATGTAGGTCTTGGGGGGGGGGTAGCATATATATATAAAATACACACATGTACATACATGCATTGATATTTGCATGTATACATATGTACATATATGCAAATATACATATGTATGTATTTAGAAATAGACAAATAAACAACTAAATCAACAAATAATTTGAAAAATAAACGCATATTCTTTTGACACATACATATGCGCACACACACACATATATATATGTATATATATATATACACATACAGATACACTCATTTTGTGGATGACATCTCCCCAGCCATTTGGCCCTTAACGTTCGCCGCTCACGTACTCGCCTTGCGCCAGCCACTGGCAGGATCGGCAAGGCCATGGGGAAAAGCATTCGGCTGAGCATCGTGGCGCTGCATAGCGTGGATGGCGTGCATCAGCAGTTCAAGGAGCTGGTGAAGTTGGCTGAGGAGTTAGGAGCACCCAGAGAGGAAATGGAGGAAATGTCACTGAGGAGCTACTGTTTTTTTTTTAGTGGTTAGGAAAACACCAGGTGGACATTTAGCAACAAATTCTTTCAAATAATAGTGGGAATAGAATGAGATATAGGATGTGTTGGTAAAACCAGTTTTTAACGCAGGGATTGTAACCGGCAAACATGGGATTGTAACCAGCGATCGATGGGTTTCAGATCGTCGATCAGTCCATTTATCTTCCCCAGGGCCTTGAATTTAGCCCCATACTGTCTTGGACACAGCAAAAGAATGACGGGCTGATGGTAGATAGGCCCGGCTGGGGCAATAAAATCCACTATCCAATCATCATCCAATCTTTTGGTGAAATAAAATCCAATCTTCAATTGGCACTAACCAATCCTCAATTTTGTTCCTTTTCTCGACCTTCATGGGCTTCACTTCCACCCCTGTTTGGTCAGAGCCACTCCATGAGGCTCCGGCGCCGCTGGGTCAAAGTCCCAGATGGAACTGGGATGGTGCGGGGGTCTGATGCGCCGAAACCAGGACTTGTTTTGGGAAGGACAGGGTCATTTTAAAGCCATGCCAATTGCGTTTCACTGAGTTCTTGGATCTTTTTTTGGTTGAGTTGGATTGAAACCAAACCAATATAGGTCTCATCACGCAACCAGGCATGAAAAACTAGTTTAGCTGGATGAACTGTTCATTTGTTCCATCTCAGGTTGAATGATCCAACTTTTGCTTGGGCAAGTGCATTTTTTTTGGGTTGTTTGGGCTATAGCCAATATTAGCCAATAACCCCAGGTTCACATCCCAACACCAATTTGGATCTCCCATTTTTAGTTGTTGGAGATGCAGCTTTTCATCTTGACATCTCCACCCAGGTCTTCAATTAGGGCGTGTCTGGACCTGGTGTATACCAGTAGTATACCTCCGCATTTTTTCAGCATTTCGAAGAAATGATGATGAGCCATTGGGTTTAGGAGTACATTACGGTGGATGGAAGAAATCCTGCACCACCGAAATGATGGTTGAAACCCTACAAATAGTGGGAAGTCACCACCTATCAACTGGTGCAGGATTTCGCAACCATCCGCCGTATTTTTTGGAAACCTAAATTTGGTCCATCGTGACTGGTGATACCGAGGTCCTCAGGCAGATGTCACATGCCACCAGCGAATTCGCCAGGGTCTGAGTGCAGGAAATGACTGGGTAACGTCGCGACATGTCCCGGAAATATACCGGAAGTATGATTGAGTCTGTTGGGGATACCAACACAAAATTCAAAAATGGGATTTACGTTGTTGTTCTTTTTTTTAGATTGATGATCTAGGTGTTTAGGATGAACAACAGAGGGACTTGACAGTCGCAACACTGAGGATAGCATGAACAAAGTTTGCAGCGAATCCCGCTAGTTTAAAGCACAACCTTCATGACTTTACATCAGGATAGAAGCCTGGCCTCAAACACAGCCTGGTATTGGACCATAGCCCACCTCATTGCTTGGACAGATTCAAAACGGCCCGGTATATTGGTACAGTATATATCCACTTCACCCATATTGCCACGCCATGCAGTGCCATGCAGTGCCATGCAGTGGTAGGTTGAGTTTCCAATGGCCAGCCGGCTGCAAACGCTGTGCAGTTCTTTTGGCTTTGAACATCGTCGCCTTGAACATCGTCGTCATCGTGTTCCAAAGGCCCTTTTTATGTCAACAACTCTCAGCTAAGAGCCCAGGATGGACAGGAAGGACGATAAATCGAACGAACCCAGTGAGCCGAGTGAGTCAACTTGAAAACGTTTCTGATACTGTCACCGTACGATCGGTCAACCCTGTTGATTCCGAGAAGCGATACTTCCAGTCTTGTTTACCACAGTATTTCTTGGATCATTTGACTAAAGAGTTCTACAATCTTGCGGTTCGGCGGAGGGATGGCCTGGATGTTTTTCTGGAGACCTACATCTCCCTGTGGCCCACTGATGGCCTAGTGATGTTTGACATCGGTGCAGGCTGCTACGCCAGTGGCTCAGACTCTGATTCAACACTGGCCATCAAGTTCGCCAAGCACTTCGGCTGCGCCAAGAATCGATTTTTCGCCTTTGAACCACAACCAGATGTGTTCATGAAAACCATGCAATGCTTGAACAAGGAGTTGTTTCCGGATCGCTTTTGCGTCGCTTTGGAAAATGCAGCATTCTCAAACGTGACCTCACGTCTCCAACTGGCAGGGAAGGCCAATGTCGCCTCTCTGACGGGACACCTAGCTGAGTCCGGTCATAAGAAACATCCGGCGAAAGCGGATCGGGACTATGCAAAAAGTATGGAAGTGATGGCCTGGGATGTGGCCACCTATGCTCGCTTGCATAACCTGGCAAAGATTGATCTGCTGAAGATTGACACAGAGGGACATGATTTCACAGTGGTGCAGGGTGCATTGAGCATGCTACGAGCCAAAGAGATCATGGTGGTGGTCATGGAAGTGAGCGACAAGATGAATCCAGATTTCTGGGGAGCTAGCTACCAAGGAGGAAAGCCTGTCTTCCACAGCAAGCACATCGCAGAGCCCAACGTGAAATCTGTGTGGCAATTTATGCTGAATTTAAATTACTTTGGTTTTTGGCTTGGAACCAAACGACTGGTGCCGCTTTCAGGGGCCTGCTGGGATGATCGTATGGAAATCTGCGGCGATCCGCACGGATACCTGAACAGCGGCATTTGCTGGTTCGACATTATCTTCATTCTGAACCAGGGCTATGGGGCCAAAATGATCAACGAAATCCTCAACTCGAAATGAACAAATTGCACATAGATGTACAATGATGTACATAGGCTATAAGACGATGTATGTGTGCGGCGTTAACAAAACCGGGCACCCTTAACGAAGGATAGTATCCTCCCGCTGCGATGACCATGGCCCCGTGTCTCTTAGAGACTTAGACCCATATCTCTCTGAAGTGTCCTTACTTGTACCTCCCTATTCCTCCTGACGGTCACCACCATTTGACTTTTAACTTTTCACCATGCACTTGCCCACGAGATAAGAGCTATGATCTACGTTCACTCCCTGGGATTTCACCAGCGAAACCGTGGGATTTCACCAATGGGTGAGGAAATCCTAAAGCAATGGACAGCAGCCGGTGGAGAAGTTGGTCCATCCAGATCCAGCGATGCCAAATCCATGCCCAAATATGCCCTTTTTGGCCCATTTTGGCTCATTAAAATGACAATTTCCCCATATGGGTATGGATCAATACCTATTAATACCATTTTTAGGGGAATGAACATCCATAAATCCCAACTACAGGGGTACCAGGGTTTTGACACACTGCCATATTTCCCCTATTTGTGTCATGATTCTTAGGGACAATATGGATCCCGGAGGCCGTGTCCGCGCTCCATGTCTGGAACTCGGGCGACAGCATCAATGACTTGCCCATGGCAGTTTTTTTTCCGTTCAACGATGTGAAGCAGCTGGGACCTAAGGAAAAAGCAGGAGCTCCTGTACCCTACAGCTCCTTCCTGTGCTCGGCTCAGCGCATGGCACAATGAGAAAGTATGGTTTACAGCTACCACTCATCAAATGCAACGATTGCTGGTGACACATCGCAGTGGCTATTAACGGATTAATGATTAGGTCTATAATCCATGAATATCCAGTAGTTATCAATGAACATTAGTATCCCTGGATGATTAGTGACTATTGTAGACCTTACAGAGGACGGGGTTGAATCTTGAATCCAGGGGGTGGATTCAAGATTTGCTCCAAAGAGTCCCTAGAAATCTTGAATCTTGAATCTTGAATCCTGCCGAAAGAATGCATTCTGAATGCATTCTTTGCAAGATTCAAAATCCAAGATCCAAGTTTCCCACAAGACTTTTGATCAAGATCTTGGATTTCTAAAGAAGTTTCATAGGGACTAGTAAGAGTATTCTGGCAAATTCCAAACCCAAGATTTGCACAAGACTTCTCCGCAATTCTTAGATCTTGGATCTTAGATCTTGGGAAGAATGCATGATCAAAATCTTGGATTCCTAAAGAATTTTCATAGGGATTGGTAAGAGTATTCTGGCAAATTCCAAACCCAAGATTTGCACAAGACTTCTCCGCAATTCTTAGATCTTGGATCTTAGATATTGGGAAGAATGCATTATGGATGCATTCCTTTAGGCTGGAAAAGACATAAATACAATTCCTGCCATCCATTGTCACTGCTCCATTCTTGCAATCCATTGTCACTGCCCCAGTGCCATTCTTGTTCTCAGCTTTCATCGCTTCCCCTCTTATTTGCCATGGCGTTCTTCAACGTGACCGGCACGGTGAATATGTCGCAAGGCAAGGCCATCATGACATTGACACCAGAGCCTGACATCAAAGTGGCCATGACTCGACCGTCAACATCTCAGCTCCTGGAAAAAATCGGAGCAGGAACAGTCAAGGTTCATGACAGCCGCCATCCAGTTGCAAAGAGAGACCTGACGACTATGATGGGCACGATTCAAAGGCAACTGCGCCTGCGTCCGGGAGGTGATGGTGAATGGAGTGCAGATGCCCAGCAGCGCTTAGAAAACTTACTGGCCAATCCGAAAAGGAGCACTGCAACTGTGCAATTGGCCTTGGAAGATGTGAAGCCATCATCCTCCAGTTCCACTTTGGAAGAGAAGAAGCCAGCATCCTCGTCTTCCACATCCGATTCCGATTCGGATTCATCATCTTCCGAAGGTCCACAACATCAGGCAGATGCTGAACTCGAGAAGAAAAGCAAGGAAGTGATCAAATGGAAAGAGGAGTTTGAGGGGATTTTCTCGGCATTGCATCACACCTCTTGCGAGCTTGCGAAGGCAACCGCTCAGATTGAGGAGCAGAATGAGATCATCGCAGGGCTGTCTCAGGAAAATGCCGCTTCGCGGCGCCGGCTACAGCCGGAAAACGCCGCGGATATCCCTATGGATATGGATGAATCTTTGGCTGCTGAAGCTTCGTCTCCTGACTCTTCTGATCATGAAATGGCATCCGATTGATGTCGCTGAGACAAGGGCATGCGGGTTGAAAAAGATGTATCTCTCATTGTGTCCGCTTGATGCACACTGAAAAGAAAAGCAGTCTGGCACTAGAGCCTTGAGCCTTAGCATTATATGTATACATACTTAGAGATATGTCCTTGGCATGCACGTGTGGCAGCGAAAGTACTTGGGAAGGTCTGATTGGTTTGAACATGCTGGCAGTTGACATTCAACATTCAATTCATGTGTGGATTCTTGTCACTCTCGTATTTCTTCTCTGCTGTGTCACATGAGCCCAAACCTGTCCGCCCCAGTCTTGTCTTGTGCACCGCGCCGTGCTCCCCTTTGATTGCAATGGCTGGAACATTGATGGATAAGGCAATCCAAGCATTGGGAAAGAAACCGTTATATCTACGACCCTTGGAAGAAGCCAAATGTGGGATTGTCGAAGTGGAAGAGCCCATCACATGCATTGGATTCACCACTGATGCGTGCAGACCTTTGCAAAAGGGGGTGAAATCCATTACAGTTCTCTTTGATTTCCACAATGACATACCCTCATGTGGCGAACCAGTCGACATTGGCCAGATCGCTATGCAATATCGATGGGATGATTTACCTGAACCCATCCGTTTCAAAGGCACTCCTCCGAGTACAACCAAAATGGACTTCGTGCATGTGACCATGGCGAATGGAAACGTAGATGTTCTCAAAGTGCTCTATCTGCCACGTCCGATGTCCTTTCAAGCTGCCGAAGCTTTGTGCAGTGGGAAAGCTTATATTCCAGTCTTTAGATCGGGGCCCTGGAACATCAAAAAGGGAGTGCAGTGGCTTCTCAATCATTTGGGAGGGTATCAACTTAGATGGTTTGCCCTTGAAGAGAAGACCCAGGCGGAGCATTCCTCAAAACCTACCTGGTCACCATCAAGGTCTGAGCTGGAAGACGGCATCTACCATATCAATGCATTTGCCCCAGAATGTGACGCTCTCAACGAGCAAACACTGTGGATCCTGCTCAACATCAAGCCTGACTCAAGCACACCTATTGCAGGATGGCCGGAGGCGAAGGTACGGCAAATGTGCCAAAACAAAAGCAAGGGGCTTGGAGGTGCTGTGAGTATGACCGAGTTTCCCCTCACAACCTATAGCCTGAAGCCATTCTTGCACACTATCTTGCTACCATACTTGTATCCACTGCTCATCAACTTTGGCCTCTTGCTGCTGGGTTGTCCTGGTGTGGGGAAAACGCCCTTTGTGATCACTCTGGCAATGGCGCTTGGTCGTTACCACGTTCGTCGATCTGGATGTGAAGGCCTGAAGGCTGGTTGGCGCCGAGCCAAATCCCTGGACAACTTCAGGCACAAAGCCCCTCAGGTTCAAGAGGCTCTCTTTCTAGACGACCCCGATCGAAGCAAGGTGTGCATAGCCGACCTGAAGAGTTTCCTTACATGTGATGAGGATGGAACGGTTGAGCCCAGGTACAACGATACCAAGATGTTACGGAATCAAATGAGGGCCTATGCGTCCAATGACTTGGCAGAAGAAAGATTTGATTGCAATGCAGGTGACACAGTGATTTCTGAAGCCAACTTCTTTAGCTTGCTTGATGAATTCTTCCGCGGTGACAGAGAGAAAGATGTCTTGGCAGTACTGAAACGCTCCATTGTCTTCATGTTCGGCAACCACGCTCTCTACCTTCGTTTGCCAAGTGCACATAGAGATGCCATTGTGCATCGGATTTGCCTGGAGGACGTGCATCTTGACTTGCTAGGTGAGCGGGACAAACCTTTGTATGGAAAGTACAAGGGAGGTACGATGGAGACTGGATCAAACTTTGATGCAGAGATTCTCCAGGAACAGGAAGTCTTGGAGGAAGGATTTCAGAAGATTGCAGGATATGAAAACCTGCAGGATTATGTTGCTTATGTGAACCACAAGCTTCAGGACAAACTTCTTTTCCGCAGTGCCCATGTTGTGCCACCATCATCCTGCCCTTCTACTCCAGAAGCCAATATGGATGTGGTCTGCCCTGTGCCTCCCATTGGCACTCGACCCTCGGGGCGTCGCCGTGGCAATTTCGTCTATCCCGATCGTCGACTACGGGCCAAGACTTCTCCACCACCATCGCAGCACATTGAGGAGTTGGCTGAGGATGCAGAAGCTGCATACCAAGATCCCATGGAAGCGGAGCCTGAGGAACCGAAGAGTATGGATTTAGAGGCTGATGAAGAGGCAGCCCACTACATGGGACTGAATGGCATGTAGACAAGTAGCCTATAATTCGAATGCAGTAGATTCGTACAATAGCAAGATAGACTTGCGAAGTCGTGTCCGAGGGGAGAAGAAAAAAAAAGGATCATAGCCATCGCACGAAAAGGTTATGTTGTCGGTGTTGTGCAATCAAGGTCCGCTGTCTCCATCGAAGCACAAGTAATTGCAAGCGAAGCGAGCATCCATTCATGCATATTGCACTGCAGCATACAGCTCAACTCTTGTGTTCCATATAGCCATCACTCAAGGCCATCGCGCTATGCGTTCCAAATTCAATCCATTCCCGGCACCAAAGAAGGGCAACCCCCGTATGGTCTTGAAACGCCCAGCTTCTCAGAAGACGAAGGCAAAGTCTTGGCAGAATGTACCGTATACAAGGGGTGCTGCGGATGTTGGTCCGCGGGGTCTTCGCATGGACCAGACAAAGTGGAAGAGGTCCTTGCCAGACATCCTCCATGCGACCGACAAGGGGATCGTGCAGATGTTGATGCAGGATGGCTTGTTGCCTGATTGGCGTGGCAAAACTTGTCCTCGGTGTGAGAAGGGAAAGCTACGCGGTTGGGTGCAGAAGCCTGGTGACTCATCCCCTAAGCTTCGCTGCAATTCCAGGGGGTGCCAGGTCTACTTCAATCCGCATCACTTGCACCATCTGTTTACAGAAGGTTATGGTGTGGCAGGTAGCCCCTTGCAGACTCAGGCTGCCCTATTACTTCTCAAAATCAACAACATTCCAAACTCCACCATCCACAGGCTCATGCATGTGAATCACAAGGCCATCGAGGACTTGGACAAGCGATTGGCTTTACTACGCAAGGAGTATGTGGAGGAGAAGGAGAAAGAGATTGTCTTCGGCAACGGAGCAGCGTGGCAGGATGTCGAGGCAGACGAAACTACATTCGACAAGAAGACTATCACTGATGTGTCAGAGCTGGGCAACACCAAGAAGCCAATTGAGTGGGAACAATGGTGTGGTATTGTTCAGCGAGGGAAGCCGGAGTCGTTGGTCTTGCATCGTCTGAAGCCTGTTCGTACAGATGCACGTGCACCGGGACCCGGTGCAGTACGCAAAGTCGAGTGGCGTCCCCTTGCTGACCATTGGCTGAAGAACAGAAAGGTTGTGTTGCACACGGGTTCTGCCAAGAGTTATAGGGTCCGTGTTGCAGGGGTGTTGCACGATCGAGTAGTCCATTGCAAAAAACGCGTGAAAGTACGCGGCAAATGGAAATGGCAGGCGCCACGATATGTCAAAGTAGTGGAACACAAGCTTCCAGGCACAAATAAAAAGATCCGTGTGAAAGCTGGCACCCAAGTGATTGACCGCTGCTGGCGTTTCTTAAAGGAGCGTCTCAGCCTTAATCAAAATACAAAAGCCGGGTCGAGCCTGCTGAGATCCAAACTCCGATCTGCTCAGTATCAGTATTGGTACAAAAATGCAGACATGTGGGTGGCGACCGGATCTCTGTGCCAATGGGCCGCAAAGCGCCTTATGGGCAAGAAGTGAGCCGTAGAGCTTTGGGGAAAAATGCATTGCAATATATTGCTTCGGGTCTTCCGTGTTCACAATCGTGCCGAAAGCTTCTTTTTGATCCAATTTCTGCCAGGTCTTCTTCATGGAATATGTCTCGATTGGTGTCTCGTTGTTCCTCGGTCCAATTGAGTTATGCGCTATGATAATGCTACACATGGGCTCATGCATCCAAAGCAATACATTCTCTGTCCTTTCCCACCCACCCAGGTGCTCTCAGTGTTCATGCACCTACGTGGTCAGTTTCTTCACATGTGCTATGCTACAGCTACATATGTGGGCAAGATGTGTCCAGGTGCATGCGTACAAGCTACTTTCCTGATGCAGTGTTACAATAGGTGAGAAGATAAGGAGAAAGACAAGGCAGCCAAGGACATATCTGGTACACAAAATGTCTCGTGTCTTGTTTGTCCTTTCCCACCCACCCAGGTGCTCTCAGTGTTCATGCACCTACGTGGTCAGTTTCTTCACATGTGCTATGCTACAGCTACATATGTGGGCGAGATGTGTCCAGGTGCATGCGCATAAGCTACTTTCCTGATGCAGTGTTGCGATAGGTGAGAAGATGAGAAGAAAGACAAGGCAGCCAAGGACATATCTGGTACACAAAATGTCTAGTGTATTGCTTGTCCTTTCCCACCCACCCAGGTGCTCTCAGCGTTCATGCACCTACGTGGTCAGTTTCTTCACATGTGCTATGCTACAGCTACATATGTGGGCGAGATGTGTCCAGGTGCATGCGCACAAGCTACTTTCCTGATGCAGTGTTGCAATAGGTGAGAAGATGAGAAGAAAGACAAGGCAGCCAAGGACATACCTAATACAAAAAATGTAGGTCTTGGGGGGGGGGTAGCATATATATATAAAATACACACATGTACATACATGCATTGATATTTGCATGTATACATATGTACATATATGCAAATATACATATGTATGTATTTAGAAATAGACAAATAAACAACTAAATCAACAAATAATTTGAAAAATAAACGCATATTCTTTTGACACATACATACGCGCACACACACACATATATATATGTATATATATATATACACATACAGATACACTCATTTTGTGGATGACATCTCCCCAGCCATTTGGCCCTTAACGTTCGCCGCTCACGTACTCGCCTTGCGCCAGCCACTGGCAGGATCGGCAAGGCCATGGGGAAAAGCATTCGGCTGAGCATCGTGGCGCTGCATAGCGTGGATGGCGTGCATCAGCAGTTCAAGGAGCTGGTGAAGTTGGCTGAGGAGTTAGGAGCACCCAGAGAGGAAATGGAGGAAATGTCACTGAGGAGCTACTGTTTTTTTTTTAGTGGTTAGGAAAACACCAGGTGGACATTTAGCAACAAATTCTTTCAAATAATAGTGGGAATAGAATGAGATATAGGATGTGTTGGTAAAACCAGTTTTTAACGCAGGGATTGTAACCGGCAAACATGGGATTGTAACCAGCGATCGATGGGTTTCAGATCGTCGATCAGTCCATTTATCTTCCCCAGGGCCTTGAATTTAGCCCCATACTGTCTTGGACACAGCAAAAGAATGACGGGCTGATGGTAGATAGGCCCGGCTGGGGCAATAAAATCCACTATCCAATCATCATCCAATCTTTTGGTGAAATAAAATCCAATCTTCAATTGGCACTAACCAATCCTCAATTTTGTTCCTTTTCTCGACCTTCATGGGCTTCACTTCCACCCCTGTTTGGTCAGAGCCACTCCATGAGGCTCCGGCGCCGCTGGGTCAAAGTCCCAGATGGAACTGGGATGGTGCGGGGGTCTGATGCGCCGAAACCAGGACTTGTTTTGGGAAGGACAGGGTCATTTTAAAGCCATGCCAATTGCGTTTCACTGAGTTCTTGGATCTTTTTTTGGTTGAGTTGGATTGAAACCAAACCAATATAGGTCTCATCACGCAACCAGGCATGAAAAACTAGTTTAGCTGGATGAACTGTTCATTTGTTCCATCTCAGGTTGAATTATCCAACTTTTGCTTGGGCAAGTGCATTTTTTTGGGTTGTTTGGGCTATAGCCAATATTAGCCAATAACCCCAGGTTCACATCCCAACACCAATTTGGATCTCCCATTTTTAGTTGTTGGAGATGCAGCTTTTCATCTTGACATCTCCACCCAGGTCTTCAATTAGGGCGTGTCTGGACCTGGTGTATACCAGTATATACCTCCGCATTTTTTCAGCATTTCGAAGAAATGATGATGAGCCATTGGGTTTAGGAGTACATTACGGTGGATGGAAGAAATCCTGCACCACCGAAATGATGGTTGAAACCCTACAAATAGTGGGAAGTCACCACCTATCAACTGGTGCAGGATTTCGCAACCATCCGCCGTATTTTTTGGAAACCCAAATTTGGTCCATCGTGACTGGTGATACCGAGGTCCTCAGGCAGATGTCACATGCCACCAGCGAATTCGCCAGGGTCTGAGTGCAGGAAATGACTGGGTAACGTCGCGACATGTCCCGGAAATATACCGGAAGTATGATTGAGTCTGTTGGGGATACCAACACAAAATTCAAAAATGGGATTTACGTTGTTGTTCTTTTTTTAAGATTGATGATCTAGGTGTTTAGGATGAACAACAGAGGGACTTGACAGTCGCAACACTGAGGATAGCATGAACAAAGTTTGCAGCGAATCCCGCTAGTTTAAAGCACAACCTTCATGACTTTACATCAGGATAGAAGCCTGGCCTCAAACACAGCCTGGTATTGGACCATAGCCCACCTCATTGCTTGGACAGATTCAAAACGGCCCGGTATATTGGTACAGTATATATCCACTTCACCCATATTGCCACGCCATGCAGTGCCATGCAGTGGTAGGTTGAGTTTCCAATGGCCAGCCGGCTGCAAACGCTGTGCAGTTCTTTTGGCTTTGAACATCGTCGCCTTGAACATCGTCGTCATCGTGTTCCAAAGGCCCTTTTTATGTCAACAACTCTCAGCTAAGAGCCCAGGATGGACAGGAAGGACGATAAATCGAACGAACCCAGTGAGCCGAGTGAGTCAACTTGAAAACGTTTCTGATACTGTCACCGTACGATCGGTCAACCCTGTTGATTCCGAGAAGCGATACTTCCAGTCTTGTTTACCACAGTATTTCTTGGATCATTTGACTAAAGAGTTCTACAATCTTGCGGTTCGGCGGAGGGATGGCCTGGATGTTTTTCTGGAGACCTACATCTCCCTGTGGCCCACTGATGGCCTAGTGATGTTTGACATCGGTGCAGGCTGCTACGCCAGTGGCTCAGACTCTGATTCAACACTGGCCATCAAGTTCGCCAAGCACTTCGGCTGCGCCAAGAATCGATTTTTCGCCTTTGAACCACAACCAGATGTGTTCATGAAAACCATGCAATGCTTGAACAAGGAGTTGTTTCCGGATCGCTTTTGCGTCGCTTTGGAAAATGCAGCATTCTCAAACGTGACCTCACGTCTCCAACTGGCAGGGAAGGCCAATGTCGCCTCTCTGACGGGACACCTAGCTGAGTCCGGTCATAAGAAACATCCGGCGAAAGCGGATCGGGACTATGCAAAAAGTATGCAAGTGATGGCCTGGGATGTGGCCACCTATGCTCGCTTGCATAACCTGGCAAAGATTGATCTGCTGAAGATTGACACAGAGGGACATGATTTCACAGTGGTGCAGGGTGCATTGAGCATGCTACGAGCCAAAGAGATCATGGTGGTGGTCATGGAAGTGAGCGACAAGATGAATCCAGATTTCTGGGGAGCTAGCTACCAAGGAGGAAAGCCTGTCTTCCACAGCAAGCACATCGCAGAGCCCAACGTGAAATCTGTGTGGCAATTTATGCTGAATTTAAATTACTTTGGTTTTTGGCTTGGAACCAAACGACTGGTGCCGCTTTCAGGGGCCTGCTGGGATGATCGTATGGAAATCTGCGGCGATCCGCACGGATACCTGAACAGCGGCATTTGCTGGTTCGACATTATCTTCATTCTGAACCAGGGCTATGGGGCCAAAATGATCAACGAAATCCTCAACTCGAAATGAACAAATTGCACATAGATGTACAATGATGTACATAGGCTATAAGACGATGTATGTGTGCGGCGTTAACAAAACCGGGCACCCTTAACGAAGGATAGTATCCTCCCGCTGCGATGACCATGGCCCCGTGTCTCTTAGAGACTTAGACCCATATCTCTCTGAAGTGTCCTTACTTGTACCTCCCTATTCCTCCTGACGGTCACCACCATTTGACTTTTAACTTTTCACCATGCACTTGTCCACGAGATAAGAGCTATGATCTTCATAAAAAAACTAACGTGGATGTTGGTAAACGTGGTGGTGTCCCCGCTGCCAGACATCATGAAAAATCAGGAAACTCCAGAAAACTTTCTGGACCCTCTGTGTTTGGTTTAAAGCATGAAATCACCTGACGGTGTTGTTGAAAGGACTGGCTGGCAGGAAATTGAATTGAAGGTCAAATGCCCACTACTCCACCAAACTGGTCTTTGTTGATGGCTGAAACTCTAGATTTCATTAGATTTCATGTGTTCAGAGTTCTGGCCCAAGATGAGCTGATGCGCTGGTCCTCTCATGAAAGAAGCAGCGAAAGCAAAGCACTTCAAGGTGGGAGCTATGATTTGGCATGTTGCATTTTCCTTTTGTTGGTCTTTATTGATCTTTCTGCAATTTTCATGGGCTTGTAGAATCAGAAGTATGGGCTGTATCAGGTTCGCACCCACGTTCGGATTTTGTATCGGTGGTCGCAGGTTGGAATACCGGGCCACTGCGACCTGAAGAAGTTAGAGCAGACAGTGAAAGCTGCTTTGGCTGCTCGTCAGTGCAGCGTTAGTGCTGCACTTTTCGGAAGGCTCCTTGATCCTCCGGTATGGAGGTGCGGTGACAGCTGGAGCGGCAAGGCGCTGGGCAGACCGAGTGGTGACACTGGTTAGATTGGAGAGGAAAGCAGTTAACTCCAGAGGCATCAGGGGTGCCCAACTCAAGGCTAAAAAGAAGTATAGATTGATGCATCAGGTGCCCAACTGCGGGCAGGAAACCAACTCCAGGCATCAGAGGTGTCCAATTGAGGCATCAAGGAAACCCAATAACTCGAGGCATGCTAGATGCCCAACTCCAGGCATGAGAGGTGCCCAACTCGAGGCATCAAACGCGCCCAACTCAAAACATGACAGGTGACCAACTCGAGGCATGAGAGGTGCCCAACTCGAGGCATCAAAGGTGGGTGCCCAGCTCGAGGCTTCAAAGGTGCCCAAGTCGAAGCATGAGAGGTGCCCAACTCGAAGCATCAAAGGTCCCCAACTCGAGGCATGAGAGGCGCCCAACTCGAGGCATGCGAGATGCCCAAGTCCAGTCAACGATGCCCAACTGGAGGCAGGACAGGTGCCCAACTCGAGGTGCCGAAGTGGAAGTGGAAGCATCGAAGGTGCCCAACTGGAGAGGAAAGCAACTCCAGAGGCATCAGAGGTGCCCAACTCAAGGCCAAAAAGAAGTATATAGATTGATGCATCAGGTGCCCAACTGCGGGCAGGAAACCAACTCCAGGCATCAGAGGTGTCCAATTGAGGCATCAAGGAAACCCAATAACTCGAGGCATGCTAGATGCCCAACTCCAGGCATGAGAGGTGCCCAACTCGAGGCATCAAACGCGGCCAACTCAAAACATGATAGGTGACCAACTCGAGGCATGAGAGGTGCCCAACTCGAGGCATCAAAGGCGGGTGCCCAGCTCGAGGCTTCAAAGGTGCCCAAGTCCACGCATGAGAGGTGCCCAACTCGAAGCATCAAAGGCCCCCAACTCGAGGCATGAGAGGCGCCCAACTCGAGGCATGAGAGATGCCCAACTCCAGGCATCAACGATGCCCAACTGGAGGCAGGACAGGTGCCCAACTCGAGGTGCCGAAGTGGGAGTGGAAGCATCGAAGGTGCCCAACTGGAGAGGAAAGCAACTCCAGAGGCATCAGAGGTGCCCAACTCAAGGCTAAAAAGAAATATAGATTGATGCATCACGTGCCCAACTGCGGGCAGGAAACCAGGCTGGTTGGCGCCGAGCCAAATCCCTGGACAACTTCAGGCACAAAGCCCCTCAGGTTCAAGAGGCTCTCTTTCTAGACGACCCCGATCGAAGCAAGGTGTGCATAGCCGACCTGAAGAGTTTCCTTACATGTGATGAGGATGGAACGGTTGAGTCCAGGTACAACGATACCAAGATGTTACGGAATCAAATGAGGGCCTATGCGTCCAATGACTTGGCAGAAGAAAGATTTGATTGCAATGCAGGTGACACAGTGATTTCTGAAGCCAACTTCTTTAGCTTGCTTGATGAATTCTTCCGCGGTGACAGAGAGAAAGATGTCTTGGCAGTACTGAAACGCTCCATTGTCTTCATGTTCGGCAACCACGCTCTCTACCTTCGTTTGCCAAGTGCACATAGAGATGCCATTGTGCATCGGATTTGCCTGGAGGACGTGCATCTTGACTTGCTAGGTGAGCGGGACAAACCTTTGTATGGAAAGTACAAGGGAGGTACGATGGAGACTGGATCAAACTTTGATGCAGAGATTCTCCAGGAACAGGAAGTCTTGGAGGAAGGATTTCAGAAGATTGCAGGATATGAAAACCTGCAGGATTATGTTGCTTATGTGAACCACAAGCTTCAGGACAAACTTCTTTTCCGCAGTGCCCATGTTGTGCCACCATCATCCTGCCCTTCTACTCCAGAAGCCAATATGGATGTGGTCTGCCCTGTGCCTCCCATTGGCACTCAACCCTCGGGGCGTCGCCGTGGCAATTTCGTCTATCCCGATCGTCGACTACGGGCCAAGACTTCTCCACCACCATCGCAGCACATTGAGGAGTTGGCTGAGGATGCAGAAGCTGCATACCAAGATCCCATGGAAGCGGAGCCTGAGGAACCGAAGAGTATGGATTTAGAGGCTGATGAAGAGGCAGCCCACTACATGGGACTGAATGGCATGTAGACAAGTAGCCTATAATTCGAATGCAGTAGATTCGCAATAGCAAGATAGACTTGCGAAGTCGTGTCCGAGGGGAGAAGAAAAAAAAAGGAACATAGCCATCGCACGAAAAGGTTATGTTGTCGGTGTTGTGCAATCAAGGTCCGCTGTCTCCATCGAAGCACAAGTAATTGCAAGCGAAGCGAGCATCCATTCATGCATATTGCACTGCAGCATACAGCTCAACTCTTGTGTTCCATATAGCCATCACTCAAGGCCATTGCGCTATGCGTTCCAAATTCAATCCATTCCCGGCACCAAAGAAGGGCAAATCTCGTATGGTCTTGAAACGCCCAGCTTCTCAGAAGACGAAGGCAAAGTCTTGGCAGAATGTACCGTATACAAGGGGTGCTGCGGATGTTGGTCCGCGGGGTCTTCGCATGGACCAGACAAAGTGGAAGAGGTCCTTGCCAGACATCCTCCATGCGACCGACAAGGGGATCGTGCAGATGTTGATGCAGGATGGCTTGTTGCCTGATTGGCGTGGCAAAACTTGTCCTCGGTGTGAGAAGGGGAAGCTACGCGGTTGGGTGCAGAAGCCTGGTGACTCATCCCCTAAGCTTCGCTGCAATTCCAGGGGGTGCCAGGTCTACTTCAATCCGCATCACTTGCACCCTCTGTTTACAGAAGGTTATGGTGTGGCAGGTAGCCCCTTGCAGACTCAGGCTGCCCTATTACTTCTCAAAATCAACAACATTCCAAACTCCACCATCCACAGGCTCATGCATGTGAATCACAAGGCCATCGAGGACTTGGACAAGCGATTGGCTTTACTACGCAAGGAGTATGTGGAGGAGAAGGAGAAAGAGATTGTCTTCGGCAACGGAGCAGCGTGGCAGGATGTCGAGGCAGACGAAACTACATTCGACAAGAAGACTATCACTGATGTGTCAGAGCTGGGCAACACCAAGAAGCCAATTGAGTGGGAACAATGGTGTGGTATTGTTCAGCGAGGGAAGCCGGAGTCGTTGGTCTTGCATCGTCTGAAGCCTGTTCGTACAGATGCACGTGCACCGGGACCCGGTGCAGTACGCAAAGTCGAGTGGCGTCCCCTTGCTGACCATTGGCTGAAGAACAGAAAGGTTGTGTTGCACACGGATTCTGCCAAGAGTTATAGGGTCCGTGTTGCAGGGGTGTTGCACGATCGAGTAGTCCATTGCAAAAAACGCGTGAAAGTACGCGGCAAATGGAAATGGCAGGCGCCACGATATGTCAAAGTAGTGGAACACAAGCTTCCAGGCACAAATAAAAAGATCCGTGTGAAAGCTGGCACCCAAGTGATTGACCGCTGCTGGCGTTTCTTAAAGGAGCGTCTCAGCCTTAATCAAAATACAAAAGCCGGGTCGAGCCTGCTGAGATCCAAACTCCGATCTGCTCAGTATCAGTATTGGTACAAAAATGCAGACATGTGGGTGGCGACCGGATCTCTGTGCCAATGGGCCGCAAAGCGCCTTATGGGCAAGAAGTGAGCCGTAGAGCTTTGGGGAAAAATGCATTGCAATATATTGCTTCGGGTCTTCCGTGTTCACAATCGTGCCGAAAGCTTCTTTTTGATCCAATTTCTGCCAGGTCTTCTTCATGGAATATGTCTCGATTGGTGTCTCGTTGTTCCTCGGTCCAATTGAGTTATGCGCTATGATAATGCTACACATGGGCTCATGCATCCAAAGCAATACATTCTCTGTCCTTTCCCACCCACCCAGGTGCTCTCAGTGTTCATGCACCTACGTGGTCAGTTTCTTCACATGTGCTATGCTACAGCTACATATGTGGGCAAGATGTGTCCAGGTGCATGCGTACAAGCTACTTTCCTGATGCAGTGTTACAATAGGTGAGAAGATAAGGAGAAAGACAAGGCAGTCAAGGACATATCTGGTACACAAAATGTCTCGTGTCTTGTTTGTCCTTTCCCACCCACCCAGGTGCTCTCAGTGTTCATGCACCTACGTGGTCAGTTTCTTCACATGTGCTATGCTACAGCTACATATGTGGGCGAGATGTGTCCAGGTGCATGCGCATAAGCTACTTTCCTGATGCAGTGTTGCGATAGGTGAGAAGATGAGAAGAAAGACAAGGCAGCCAAGGACATATCTGGTACACAAAATGTCTAGTGTATTGCTTGTCCTTTCCCACCCACCCAGGTGCTTTCAGTGTTCATGCACCTACGTGGTCAGTTTCTTCACATGTGCTATGCTACAGCTACATATGTGGGCGAGATGTGTCCAGGTGCATGCGCACAAGCTACTTTCCTGATGCAGTGTTGCAATAGGTGAGAAGATGAGAAGAAAGACAAGGCAGCCAAGGACATATCTGGTACACAAAATGTCTAGTGTATTGCTTGTCCTTTCCCACCCACCCAGGTGCCCTCAGTGTTCATGCACCTACGTGGTCAGTTTCTTCACATGTGCTATGCTACAGCTACATATGTGGGCGAGATGTGTCCAGGTGCATGCGCACAAGCTACTTTCCTGATGCAGTGTTGCAATAGGTGAGAAGATGAGAAGAAAGACAAGGCAGCCAAGGACATACCTAATACAAAAAATGTAGGTCTTGGGGGGGGGTAGCATATATATATATATATAAATAATCAAAGGAAGTTGGGAAGGCCGATGGAGCCGATGAGTCTGATGGAGCCGATGCAGGCTGATATGGAGTCGCTGGAGCCGTTGAGGCCGATGGAGCCGATGAGGCCGATGGAGCCGCTGGAGCCAATGAGGCCTATGGAGCCGCTGGAGCCGATGAGGCCGATGGAGCCGAGCCGATGAGGCCGATGGAGGCGATGAGGCCGATGGACAAGCCGATGGTCAGGCCGATGGACCAGGCGCGTCATAATGCAAAGCATTTATGCTTTGAAAGTGGCGCTTGGCGCCGGAGATAGATCCTATGCAGTATTGCCAGTATAAAGAGATCGCAGGTTACAGCTACATATATCGAGACACCTTAACCCATTCCACCCTGCCTACATGCACAAGAAGCGGTGCCGCAAAATCGACGTCAACCGTCAATGGCACGGCCCCCCTCCCCCCCCATTCGATTCCCCCCTGGTCCGCAGCAAAAAATGGAATCAGCGCATGTCATTGCAGATTGGTGATATTGGATATCTGTATATCTTTCGCTGCTTTGCAGCTGTCTACGTGCTCATCCCCATCGACTCTATATACTCGCCACCACATGCCGCATTCCTTTAGCATGAGCGTTGCATCCTTGAGGGACTACACCTCTACACACAAAGTGCCTCAACCGAGCATCCATCGGTTGAAGCACTTTAGCCCCATTTCGTGCATGTATCTTGTCAGCCAACTCAGCACCTCGATCTTGCATTAGTTCTTGTAATACTGACCGTGATATTATTCTTCTTGTTATCCTTCTCCTCGTCCAATTTCTCTCTCTTCCTGCCCCTCCTGTATCTGCCCCCACCTACCTTTCGTCCCCCCCTCTCAAGTATATATATATAGATTGTATATATGCACAATATAAATATAAATAAATAAATAATTATATATATATATATCTACGTATACATAGGCATTATATCTATATCTCTATATATATATATCTACGTATACATTGCTATAAATATACATAAATGTAGATTTGAAATGATCAAAATCAGTGCTTTCATGTGGTTTGAACCTTGGCCCATTTTGTGCCCTTATTCAATTGTTGGACTCAGTCGGCCATTCTGTTTGAAGTCCTCCGGTTTTTGTTGGGTGAAAATTCATGCTTGAGGAGTTGACATTCAACGAAACTCATCAATAATATAAGGTTTCTGAGAAATCACACATTAATGAATGCTTTCTCCCTCGGTCTGAGGGGTCGGTGCTTGATGAGAACGCAGCTTTAGATCAAACAGCAGGGAAGGTGTGCCCTTCGCAAGTTCCAATCATGGCGAGGCACATTTTCAACCCAGCAGCCGTGTCTGCTTCTGGTGGGAAGTCTGATGGATTTGCCGAAGATGATTTTTTTTTTCCACCCAGTGGTTGATCCTTCAAAATTAGGGAATCTAACGAGAATCATCCCCTCCCCCTAATATTGATTTACCACATCACTGATACAAAATATTGAATAATTCGATCCCATTAGTATTAAACATCCCCTGGAAACACTTTTTTGGTGTTGGATCTATTTGTTTTTGGATCCCCATAGTGGTGGGTATTTCATCTTAGGATATCTTTGGGAAATGGGATAAGTCCCAGGTCGTTGGCCTTCAAATCGGCCGTCTTCCTGTCCATCTTCTTCTGTGCATATGCCTTCGTGGCTTTGCTACTCGAACCCTATGCGGGTGATTACATGTTTGAGCCTTGGCTGATACATGATTAGCATTGGGGTCATTGGGGGCATAGCTGTAATCCAGGGTTTATCAATCATTAAGTGGATTTGGGGCAAAGAGGTGAACTTTTTTGTGCATCTTTTTGTCATTGATTGATTTTTTCGTTAATGTCAGAGCCGGATCAGCAAGATTCAACAAACCCGGGTTTATTAGGGACTGACCCCCCAAAAAGCAAACTCATTTAGCGGTTTCCTAATCCTGGGTTGATGTAAACTGATGTTGTCTTGGCAATCCCCTCACCAAACATATTCGAGGAGATTCCAAGAAGGAACCCCGAAATAAATGGATCCAAACCATTTTTTTTTTTGTTGATTTCTTTTCGTTGGGAGGAAGGGATCATTTCTTGGTGGTGTCGCATTCCTCGCTGTTTTCTGTGTTATCTTGGTTTCTGCTCCTATGCCCCGTACCAGCTGAATTAGCTTTGAATACATTGGGATCAAGGGTAATCAGTAGATCACGAATTCAAGACTTGAGACTGCATTCTCACACATATGCTGGAGGCAGAAGTCGCATGTACCCATCCTTCTGCAGATTGAAGATCTTGAAACATCCAAGGAACAGTACTTGAACAAAACCAAGGACATTGACACCAGAGTGCCAAATGTTCCGAACGTGCTGTTTCCAGATGATTGGAAGTATCGCGGCCACCGCTGGCCCCAGCTCCTGTTCCTAACACGGCAGGAGGCGGAGTTTGGTCGCCGAATGATCGTCTCCTTGGTGGTGGGAGCGTTGCTGGGACTGGAACGGAGGGAGTCCAACCGGGGAGCAGGTGTCCGTACCATGAGCTTAGTATCCTTGGGCGCCTGTATCTTCACCATTGGCTCCATCTATGCCTTTGAAGCGGGAACTCAAACTTGGGATTCCTCCCGGGTTGCTGCTGCTTTGCCCTCAGGAGTGGGATTCTTGGGCGGAGCCTTGATTTTCAAGGACTCAGGGCAGATCAAGGGCTTGACAACAGCCTGCGGGGTGTGGCTGGCATGTGCTGTGGGGATGTGTTGTGGAGGGGGCTTGTACTTCGTCTCCTTTTTCGGAGTGGCTGGCGTGGTGGCTGTTCTACGGTTTGGGCCGCGGTCAGCGATGCCAGATGATGAGGAAGATGAGGCAAAAGTCCATCCTGTGGCTGTGGAAACTTTGGAAGAGCCCCTATTAGTGAAGAAGAAGTCCGGCCTAACATCCTTACCAAAGACCCTCCTGGTCAGCGATGAGTGAGCCATACTGAGCATTTGTAGCTTTTGTGAGCGGCCAGCAACAGAAAAATTATGAGGATCTCCATCTGAAAAGTGGCTATAGGTCATAGGTGAGTCATAGGCTATAGGCTATAGTGTAGGAGTTAGTTGTCCTCGCTCAGCAGCAGCGACAAAGTGGCGGCACAAGAAAAAAGCAGCTTGGACGGGAAGGGAATTGGAGACATGTGACGTGTGTTATTCATGTGTTCAGTCCGTTGGAAAGCCTGCTTTCCTCATCTTCCTTCGTCATTTGATTACGGACATGTGGGCTGCTTTATTCCCCTGCAGACTCTGAGGCAACTCCACTGCTGCGGTGCACGCCGAGCTCTTCAAATCCATGGTGGCATGGAAAGACCGGACGAGATGAAAGTCTTGAGATGCGTTGCAGCACAAGGACTGTGTCCCTAAGAGCGGCAGTTTTTCAGAGTTTCTTGAAGCTGATCCTTTTCAGTATATAGATGAGGGGAATAGATCAAATGGAGAGGAAACCAAGCCAAGATGGAAGATGGAAGCTGATGTTGTGAAATTGTATGACATTTGGCAGTTTCCAATCTGAAAATACATTCCTGATCATAGAGGGACATGCAACAGCTTATAGATGTATGGATGCAAAAAGAGTAGTGACCGCAACAAACCTCCAGGGGTTTACTTCAGGATGATCTTTGCACCAGATCTGTTGCTTTTCCGGCAGCATGCACCCATGGTGTAGCCTCCAGTAAACATTGCTATAGAATACATATGAATATATGTTTCATTGAGTTCGATGATTTATGACGATTTTCCATGACTATTGAATTGTCATACGATACTTATGGCTCCTGAATGGCTGAATCTTGTCCATTTTTTCCCGAGAGACTTTGATTTTTTGATCAACCTCACCACCAAACCATGCAGCAAGAAGGGTCAAAAAAACGGACAAAGTCTCTGCGGTCAAGGCCAGAGGTGAAACTACTGGGACACTTCCAGGGATAGTAACCGATTGGTCCTGAACATGATCAGCGTGCTTGCCAGGATTAGCTGCCCTGGGGCCCTGGGATACTCCAATGTGACAACTTCTGCTGCAAGAAACCAGTGGAAAATAAGCGCAGGCACAAGAATTGTCACGAATTGCACTACTGGCAATAACCCTGGTAGCAGTTATCTACATCTAGGTTTCCGAACAAAGTGTGGCATTTTTGTCGGGGAAGTATATGCTGGCAGCAAACTACTGAAGTCACAGTTCGACTGTATAGGTCCTGGATTGCCAATCTTGGTGGACGGTTGGTCGACCCTGTTTTCCTGAAAGTCTCATCCTTAAACTGCCTTGGGATCCGGCTTTCTCGTGTGCCTCTGATAATTTGTGACATGGACTGCTCAAGCTTTGATTCTGCACTGCAGTGAAGTTTCTGGCCGATTGTGGTCATGGCAGTTTCGATGGGGCATCGAAACTAGGCAGGTGCCATGGCTGCCATGGCTGCCATGGTTCATGTTATGCCATCCCCAGCAGTTTATGAAATTGGGTACACAGATGTACACAGTTCCCAAGAAATGGGATGATATTCTTCGATTCAGCATCAGTTGCTATGATCCGACGCCGCGGGAGTTGATGCATCAAAAAACCGGATTTCCCCCATGAGTTTTGCCACTTTCTCGTGGAATTGCTGAGGAACAGCCCCAAAAAATGGTTCGAACCAATCGGCCCCAGAATTTTCAGCCAGCAAATTTCCGCACGAACAACCCAGATTTCGGCAGTGTGTCATCTGCCACCCTGCAATGTCACGCCATGACGTGGCTGCAGCATGTGGTGCTTTGCTGCGCGGGCTATGCCTTGGCAGCCGAGGTGATGAGGTTCCCATGCTGGGGCCACGAGAATTTCTTGGAGATGGTGAATGACCAGACGGAATATGTTGGAACACATTACATAGAGATACATAGTGTAGATTGGTGTATTAGCTTGTATTAGCTTGTATCTACATGTACTATGATGTTACTACGTATGGAAAAGAACCATCTTGAACAGATAGGTGTGGTGCATGTTGTGGGCAGCGTGTTCCCTGCACTCGGCTCAAAGATGTCTGGGACATGATAAATCAGTGGATATCGGATTTAGGGATACCCTATTTTTATACAAAGCCAGATCGCTTCAAATCCAGATGTGGTACCACATACAGACTGAGCCTGGGAGCATTGCAGCGTGGTTGCCAGGCTGAACTGCAGCGAAGAGATGATGATGGAATTGGTGAAGCTGCGCAAAGCGAGGAGAATTCGCATACAGCATGGGTGGATGGGATGGAATAGGATGGGATTGACAGGATGTCTTGATAGCTTGCCACGGTAACGTCGCTACCTAAAGAAAGTCACAGCAAGTGAAGGTTTATAAACTCATTTTTTTTCCCCGCGCACTATGGCGGAGGTTTAGATTTCGACTTTGAAACTCAACAGTAAAACAGAATTCATCAGGGTCATCCCCCTGGGCGAAGTAGTGATCGGCTGAAGTTTCAAAGGTTGGGGCTGCTAGTTGGTTGTCAGATGAAAAAGTCTTGGAAATGTCCTTGGGATTATATAGTATAGATGACATCAACATTCTATCTGTTACCATACGTGTCCTGGTGTGGTAGCAAATTGCGCAGCAGGCAGAGTCTCGTTTTTCCGTGATTTGGGATGCGGTTTTATGGAAGAGTTGCAACATGGATCTGGAAGGTATATATGCCGATGTTTCTCGAAAGCATAGTCTGCAAGTTCAGAAAACCATATTAGACGCTCTCAAGAAAGCTCATCCATACTCTTATTTTCAATTATTTTCCTTTGTTCCGGTTACGAGAAAAATTGGCTAGAAACCTTCCTGGCATGGGTGACAAACTAGCAAGGGCACACACAAGGTGGACAGTGGTGGTTGTGTGATGGGCTTTCCTGGGGCTGTGAATTCTCTTGAAAATTGTCGCCCGGCCCTACGCCCAATGGTCTGGGTATGAATGTGCCCGCTTGCCACATTTTCCCTCTGTTGCAGGAGCTCCATGGACAAAATACACTTCCCTAACATTATTATTATTGTTATTTATTGTTATTAGTACTTTCATGGATGAGTCGCGTGAAGTCCTTTTTGACCCCAGACTCTTGCTTTGCATGGGACAAGCAAAAACAACATGCTGTCAGCACGCTGGAAACCAATCTTTATACTGTTTATACCCATAAAATGGTTGGTTTCATATCCTCCATTTTCAGACAATGCATGAAGCGTTGGCTTTCAGGAACTCAAGAGATGCTCTTGGAGATTTTTCCCAGCTGTATGCAGTACCTTGGTATCGACCCACGGGAAAGACGAGGTTTCCACCCGCAAATCATCCACAATTGTCCAATTAAGTATACCTTTTGGATCCTTTTAGTAACTTTAGTATTGAAAATATGGGTTTTGGGGATCCCCCATTTTAAGAAACCATCAAATATCATATACATATATCACATATATATAATATTTTCAGGGCGCCAGTGAGAGCTTTGCATTTTTCCCTGAAATGGCTCCAGGCAACCACTGCGTTGGAGCAGACCATGAGGCCAGTACGGCCGCCATCGAAAGCCAGGGTTTCTTCAAAGCATCGGATGACTTAACCATGGGTTACAATGGGTATATAATGGGTTTGTAATAGTTTTGGGTTTGTCATCAAACATAGAAATCGACTGAGATATAGTGGGTATATAGTGGGGATATAATCAGCAGTATATGAACTTAATGGATGATGATACAGTGATTTTTTTGGGTCCACATTATTTTCGGACAATTGACAGATCCAAATTTTGTACATACTTTTCCTTGGGAACCATGGGTTTCCACTTTTTTACAATTTACCCTGGGGTGGCTAGCAATCAATGGGGCTTTACCAGATTTACCAACTTAGCAAATGTAGATATCCTGGAAAAAACCAAGAATCCAATGCAATAGACCCATCAAGGGATGATTTAGAATCCACTCACTGTAAGTCAGTGGGGGTGGTTTATAAAGTTTATGTAATTGAGCAGTGGCTGCGGCTAACCCTGTTGGTTGATGATTACAAGAGGTTATACAGTTATACTACCCAATATATTGGGGATTATCAAAATCCACTGTGCGAATCAATCCCAGCCAACCAGTGAGGGACGACGTTGATGGGTTTTGCACACTGCTCAATGGGGTTTATCACGTTCCATCTATTGGAAATCATTCAGTTACCTTCCAGTAGTCGAACATAGCTGCATAGCTATTGAAAATGGACCATTCATAGATGATGTACCTATAAAAATAGTGATTTCATGGCTATGTTAGTTTACCAGAAGGTAAACATTTTGCTCACTCCAGCAGCTGCAGGCGCTTCTATGGCCTCAATGACACCAAGGATCGGGACGAGGCAGGCAGGCCCTGGGATATTGAGGTTTCCATAGGTTTCCCAAGCCATTTGGGTATTGAAACCGATTGGACCCTATGGTTTTGGGATGTTTTGCGGGGATCCGCACTTTAGGAAACCACCAATATTGGTCGCGTCCGTTGGGTGTCAGTTGCCAGGTGGGCTGGCTTGACGGGGATGCCTTTCCGGCCTGCGGAGCTGAGCTACCGAGACCGGGCAACCTGCACGACATCAAAAGCCATGCCTACTACGTAGGACGAAGAAATGGGGGAAGTGGATTTTGGATGATTCTGGCAGGGGGCCTGGCAGGTGATGGTGTGGGGGTCGTTGCGCACAAAATGGAGCAGGTTGAAGGCCTTGAGGTTTGACTCTTTTTGGAAAAGACGGGGTTGAGAGGTGCGCACAGCTGCTGGAGGAGCCATTCGGAAGCTGCACTCCTTTCCTTCTCAAGCGGTTCAGTCCATTGTGGCTTCGGAGTGTCATGTTTGCAAGTCTGGAAGATTTGGGTACGTAATTTGGGATGGCGGATGATGCCTTGGGTTGCTTCAAGGAACAGCGGCTCGGCGAGACTTTGGCAGAGTTTCAATGACCCTGATGGGAAATGTCTTTCTGAGATCACGTGCTTTTGACTTGAACAGGTTGTTGGCAGCCGAGGATCTCTCTTTGATGCGTACTAGTATGGGGCAGGACCGGTGTTTTCAATCACAGACAAGGATTTCCATTTGAATAATACAATTTGTCATATTTAATTATTTTATAGTTTTTCGAGAAAATACCAAAGGAGTCCAAAGGTGATTATTTCACTTCTTGTTGGTCACAAGTTCTTATTCTTGGTTGGTGACGTACCCATGATGAGTAAGCCTTAAGCATTTGAATTATGTTGGCGAATGACACGTAAAAGGACACATAGGTATTTAACACCCTAACGTATGTCTAATTTCATACCAGTATTATATACTGTGTACATTTCTATATGGAATTTCCTAAAATAGGGGTACCCCCAAATCATCCAGTTTAATGGGATTTCCATTCTAAACCATCTATTTGGAGTACCTCCATTTATGGAAACCTCCATATATACAAGATAATATCATATACACCGAAAACATTTTTCACGTCTGCTAGCTGCCACCGTACTCAGGTGGTATCATCCAGGTCTGACTGCCAAGTCAGCCGCCCGGCGCACTTCTTTCAGCAGAACTTGGCCCATGAAAGATACGGAGATATGATAAAACGAAATATATGGGTGTGTATAACACTAATCTATCTATATTAACATATCCTCTCTCTCTCTATATATACAAATGTATATATACATGCTTTAGTAGGTGTATGTAGATATATGTACATATACATGTACATATACATGTACATACATATGTACATAATATGTACATACATATGTACATACATATGTACATACGTACGTACATACAGACAGACAGACAGACAGACATACAGACATGCATACATACATGTATGTGCATATTTATATTGATGCAGCCAAGAAGCATGTTTTTGATCAAACATGGATATGATAAATGCGGATTCAAACAACCAACATGCACTTTAACCCCCGAAAGCGCAGGGAGTTTTGACAGAGTCAGACTTGAGGGACTCCGAATCCACAGGTTTTTCCGACTTTGATTCTGACCTTTTTCTGGCCACTGGTTGGTGAAGTATGGCTACGTATCAGCAGCGCCCATATGCGGCTGTTCTGCTGAGGTATGGTGTGTGGATAGTTGTGCTTCAGCCGCAAGAAGAGATGTCTCGTGACTCATGACTCATCATCGCCGTTGCAAACACGTGCGTGAGTCGTAGGTTCTCAATGGTTTTCGTTGTGTGTCTGGGTTTGTTTTGAACGTAGGCTACCTAAATCAAAATCCGTTGGTTGACCACTAATTCTCCTTACTAAGATGGCTATTTGAGGATGAAATGGATGAAATCCAAGATTTTCAGAGCCATTTTGTTGCTTAAGACCGAACCCAGAGCTCAGGTGATCTGCCGTTGGCGCAACGACTGAACCGCCACTTCCCGGCCATCCGCAAGGAGCTGCTGCAGTTTTGGGCGCAAAAGGAGCAGGTCAAGGAGCGAAATCCACTGGGTTTTGTTACTTTTGCTGTTCGAGTACCATTGATTTCGTATAGCCCTCAGAAATCCTCGGACCCAGGTGAGGAAGGTCACGGAATGACCTGGAAAAAGATTTTGATCTAAAATGTCATCAAACCCTGTCTCTATCTTTCTCGTTTCTTTCCTAGTACCATCCAGAACTGTGGCACCTTGGATTGAAACTTGTCATTTGGCGAATCAGACTTCCCCCCTGCGTCATGATGTTTTGTATGAGTCTATCTGAGACAGTCCTGGTGCAAAGGACAGTTCCTAGGTGTGTTATTTTGTTGTACCGATCCGGCCATTCCTAGCCGATGCAGGGCTAAAAAGCTGAGCTACCAAACACAAAGATAGTATATATATATAATATATATATATATATGAATAATGTCATGTATTTATATGCCTACGGCAGGAAAACCGTACGTGCGTTTTGCTTCTTTTTTGAGTATTGCTCTTTGTCTTGGGGTTGGGGTGGGGTGGGGTGGGGGGGCATGTTAACGTTCCTTGTACTTCGTACATGATATATTGCCATGTTAGTGTGGGTTGGGGTTGGGGTGGGGTGGGGTGGGGGGGCATGTTAACGTTCCTCAAACTTCGTACAGGATATATTGCGATGTTGCTAAGATCTCTGGGATCGTTTACTATGTGACATGTTGCTACGCTGCTGAGATCTCTGGGATCTTTTACTACGTTACATGTTGCTACGCTGCTGAGATCCTTGGGATCGTTTACTACGTGACATGTTGCTACGCTGCTGAGATCTCTGGGATCTTTTACTACGTTACATGTTGCTACGCTGCTGAAATCCTTGGGATCGTTTACTGCGTGACATGTTGCTACGCTGCTGAGATCTCTGGGATCTTTTACTATGTTACATGTTGCTACGCTGCTGAGATCCTTGGGATCGTTTACTACGTGACATGTTGCTACGCTGCTGAGATCCTTGGGATCGTTTACTACGTGACATGTTGCTACGCTGCTGAGATCTCTGGGTTCGTTTACTACGTAACATGTTGCTACGCTGCTGAGATCTCTGGGATTGTTTACAGAGGAATACTCATACCTGGATTTGTTAAAAATCAATAGATTTTGCATCCACTTTTTTAAACCCAAATTCAGTTATACAAACTGATCGGAAGAGCATTTTATATTGTAAATTACAGGTGATTGTGACTCTCCTGGAAGCAACCAATCAAAACGCTCGCGCGGTTTCCCTTCCGCCGGGTATTTATATATAAATATAATTATATAGTTATATGTATATACATACAATGCAAATTATCAAGAACAACTTGGGGGTGCAGCTCCAGTAATAAGTGGATGTATTACCAGAGTTAGAAGCTATAGGGGTGTTATATGACATAACCCCAAGTGGAGATGAATTTTTACGATAATTCTCTCAAAATTTCCAATCATTCTCCTATAGTCATCCCACATCCCCAATGATATCTATAGATTATCCCATCGAAAAAATACCGGGGATTCTCCATGTTGGAAAAAATGGGGCGACTTGGATTCCGTTCTTTCGAAAGTATGTCATGATCCCAGACATGTTTGCCATTATATGCCATTATGCTATTTCATGATCCCATAACATCCCATAACATGCCATGGGTGTGTCTGAAAATAGTGTAGCCCTAAACCCAATGGTTAATGATCATTATCCCTATTAAATGATATTAAATGGATTTAAATGGCTATAATTGGGAATATACCCTATTTTCAGACAAATCCATATTATAACTATCCCGTGGTACCCCAAGATTCCCCGAAAGGAACTCCCCCCGATTCCTTTCGTCGAAGGAGCACCTCCGTGGCGTTGGTTCACACACCACAAGTGGCTCGGTGTTCTAGAATTCACGGGTGCCAAGGGATAAAACGACCCCCAAAAAAACATGTGAATCAGTGAATCCTCTATTTCTTGTTGGTTACTGTTGGTTCACTTCCTTTTTTCTCTGATCTCATTGATCTCATCTCCTGGATGTCTTGCTCAAATCCGTTTTTTTTTGATGGGCAACCCATGTAATTCCGCAAATATCATCAAGCACAGATTATTTACAGCCTCGCAAGTTTTGGATATATATATATATGCACGGCAGCTGCACTTGCACAAGCAATCGTAGATGGAAGCCAGTGAAGGATTGACAAAAGGTATGGCAATGCGATACGGCGAGATCTTTCCTTTTTCCACTGGCGGTTCGTGCCAAATTGCTGATAGCACCGATCTCACATGTTGATCGTGGAGAGGTGACAAGTGGGCACACTTTCATGCCACCTGTTGGAGGAAATACTCATCATGTATGACAACAACAAAACAAGAGAAAAACCAACGAACCAAAAAGAAGAAGCAACTCATCATCATCCATCGAACGATCAAAACAAACCACATCCAGTTAAACCCAAAACTTTTACCCTGGTCCTTCGCAAGGTTGGTCTCTACTGAAGGTAGAGTTTTCCGCATCTTCAAGAGGCTGTTGACCCTTCTCCTTTCGTTTTCTTGCTGAAGACATAGTAGGATCTTCCACTATTTTCCAGTGTTGACCCATGTTGTAGTACAAGAGCAATTGCCTTAGTTCTCGTGCCTTAGTCAGTCCATTCGCCAGTTGGGCGTCAGAGTGAACCCATCGGACCAAGACCTGGTTGACATTCTGGGATTCTTTCAGTCTCATGAGTGTCACATCCACCCTTTTCTCCGCACCTTTTGCTACCACCACTTCAGTCGCAAGCTTATCATAAACATTTCGGCTATCTGTTACCAGACATCCAACAATCTTATTTGCAGTGGAATTTGGTTCTCGAATATTTACATGGTAACCCAACATTTCGGCAAGTTGGAATCTACTGAAAAACAATAAGTCCTCAGCATTGGTGGCTGCTATGGCCTCGCTGGAACCTGGGCTCGTGCATACACGTCCTATCTTTGAGGAGTGCCACGCAATTGCAGAAACTGGGCTACAACGTCCTTCCAAAATTTCTTTGGACGTAGCTCCAATGAAAATTCCTTGAGTACTGCCACCATCATGGCGGTTGATTGAAGCGGCGTCCGCCCATGCTACCAAAATCAGTTCTGAGATGGGAATGTTGTGAATAACCAGTGAAGTATCTTTCATATTTTTCACCTGGTCCAAAAGCTGATTCGCACGCAGTAAAGTCTCTACTGTGCTTGTGTTGACTTCAGATAACATAAGACTCACATCAGCTGCAAAATGGGGTGCCACCTGTTGGGCATGCCAACTAATGCCTCCCAGTAGTGCTCTCAATTGTGTCTTTTCCAAAGAGTCGGTTGGTGCATGTTTGTCTCTACGTCGTGACGCTCGGACGTTGATATGCTGAAGTTCTTCGGCATATTTCTCCTGAGACAGTGTATATGTGCCATTGTCATGTTGTTGTACCAAGACTCCACATTGCACAAACTTTCCTGATTCCCATTCTCCCCACTTGTATTGTTCCTGTATCTTCTGTAAAATTGATTGCCAAATAGGATCGTCATCAGCTCCTGAAAACAGAAAATCGTCCACATGTCCTGTAATGATCCCACGCAATCGACCCTCATGAACCAGAGTCCAACAGCAAGGATCTGACCAACATTTCTTCAGTCCCAGTGAAGTAAAATAATTGCTAATTGATCTGTACCATTCCAATGGCGCGTCAACCAAACCGTAGCAAGCCTTCTTGACCTTTGTTACTGAGCCTGGTGCCAAACCCATTGCTTGGCAAATCTCGTCACAGGGCACACAGAGAAGTTCCTCAGGGTATTCTCTGGATTGTAAGAAAGCACCAGTCACATCACCCTTCTTTGTGCGAAATCCTTTGCTCGCACTGATCTGCAGTTGTAATTGCCGTGATAACCGCGTTGTTGTTGGTGAATGAGTTGCTCTATGTTCATATTCTGGATCCATGTAGCCCTGCAGTACAGCCCTAGCCTTTGCTTTCTTGCTACCGTCAGGTTTCATTTTCCAAGTCAAAATCCACCTCATATTGATCACATCTGCTCTTGAAAACTTGTGTTCGGGAGCCAGTGCTTCAAACGCTCTTGCAGAAATAAAATTGTTCACTTCGATCGCCTTCGCCTGATCAAACTGTTGTTTTTCCGCTGGGGTAAGCCTTCTTTCAGAAATCTCCACAGCTCGCTTCTTCATTGCTGTGGTGAAGTATGCTTGTAGATCCTTGAAGGCTCTTTCAGAACTGCTTCGAGTCTGTGGCATATCAATCTCTACAGAGAAAACTGAGTTCCGAAACTCTTGTTGTGGATTTGAATCAACGAAAAACGTCTCATCCACTTTTCCAGACCAGTGAGGAGCCTTTGCAAAACCATGGCTCATGGGTTCTGATGGTTCTCGACCACGGCTGCGGCTTCGAGCTCTATGCTCCCCTGGTCCATGATCCTGGGGAAGTGGATCACCTGGTGCTGACACCAGATCATCACTTCCTCTGGCTGGAACCTCCGGAGTGGGAGCACAGCTCTGTTTGTTCAATCGTATGGTGGGCTGCCACTCTGATGCGGGGTCTCTCGCCCGCTTCCACTCCCCAAGTGTAGGGACCCCTGTAATGTCCTCATATCCATTGCCACCCAGCTCCTGTGCCACTTTAGGAAAATCCCATTGAGGCACTTGGTGTTGATCATGCAGTTCTGTCAGAATCTTCTCCCTCTCAGAGGCGTGTCGTAGTTGTTCCGGACAGCACTTCAAGAGGCGGCGGCCCCTTACTAGCCATACTGAACTGCCAGGTATAAGATGGCCCTGGGAGTCACGCTTCTGCTCTGTAGCAAGGATCCTCGCTGGTCCTACAAAGCGTCCCTGCCCAATCTTGTTTTGTTGAGCATCTACCCCTGTCAGTCGTTTTCGCCATATGTAAACCATATCCCCTGCAGAAAAATCGAGGATTCTGTGGTGCTTTGAGGATGCCGCACGTGACAGTCGCTCTTTGGCCTGCCATTCCAAAAATGATTTCTCTGCCACCAGTCTACGGTGGTGGTTCTGTGCCATGTCCTGGCGTTCCGAATCCAAAATTGGTTCCAGAGCATCATGATCCAAAGGAGTGAAACATCTCCCTGCCTCATCTGGAGCCCTACCAAGGACGTGCTGAAACGGTGAAAATCCGCGGACTGTGTCGCGGTGATTCAGTGCTCTAAAAGCCTCTGACAAAGCATCCGTGCTGAAATATCGTGTTCTTCTTGAGCCATACATTCCATGACGTGTTTAACCGACTGAACAGTTCTTTCACAAACCCCAATTTTCCAATGAGCTTCAGAAGGAATAATATCTAAGAAAATATGATGTTTGTCACAAAACTCTTCCATTTCTTTACTACGGAAACTTCCATCGGGGTCCAACCTCAAAGTTTGGGGGTAACCAAAGTACTGCACCCATGACTCCCTGAAAGTTTGGAGGAATTGAGCCGTAGAAACATGTTGTTTCTTCCCCTGAGCAACCATTTTCCCAACTTTGAACCGAGAACCCTCATCAACCATCACCACAAACTGCCACTTTTCCTGTGTGTAGGGGTGAATCCAATGGCCAATGTCCGCACTCACAGTGGCGAATCTTTGGGGCAAGGGTTCCAGGGAAGAAACATTTCGTGGTTGGGGCCGCTTACGTTCTTCACATATGGGACACTTGAAGTTCTCAGCAGCCTTGATGATGGTTTCAGCCACTCCCCTCCTACGCAAGGTTTGAACCAAATGTTTCACCTGTCCATGACCTGTTGCCGAGTGAAGAAGGTACAACCGTCTTTGAATCTCTTCGGGGGTCATTTTGGTGGTCAGAACTCCATCCCTTTTATCCGCAACCATCACCCCAGAAATAAGATCTTTATCCCGGGTACAATGCCCACAAGTTAACCCAGCATCATGGTGGTTCCCCTCTTTACAAACACACAAGGTTCCTTTCCCAAACTCATCCCCAAAATGAACCGAACCATTCAGTTCCCCAGGAAGCATTTTTGGGTCTCCCTTTTGGAGGATGGCTTCACAAACCCGACGAGCGAAAGCACGTGTGTAGAAAGCCGTTTTCTTGGTGATTGAACCCTGACATGGAACATGAGCAACCCCTGGTCCACACCTACAAGGTAATTCCATGCGTTGTGACATGAGGGCATGAGTGGTCATCAATTTCCAACCCTTTTGAATGGGGTCTCCCTTTTCAGTTTTCAGTCCTACCTGACAACCCCTAACTTTGGCAAAATGCACTCCGTCCAAAACTGCAAGTTTCTGAAGAAGAGGGAGACGCCAGGCCTGACAAGTTTGTGAGAGTTCCCATGTGGTGTGTATACCTCTTTGGTAACAGTACCTAAATATGACAGAGCATGCCGTGTACTGCTTGAGGGCATCCCTTCTTTTCTCAGCCAGAGCTTCACACTGCTCCGGTGATCTTTGATTCACATTCTGCATTATGCTGTAAGGGCCACAGTCCGGTGACAGCCAAACATGTTCAGGTCTCAAAACATCGATTTTATCCAAAACGGCTTTCAACCCTGAGTTGGTGGTCAAATCAAAACCATTCCAAATGGACAACCGATGAGCGGAACCTGATTGACCCGTCAGTTCATGCATCATTGTGGTCAAAACACTGTCTGTGCTACAAGCCACTTCCAGTAATATGGTACTCTCAGGTGCTCGCAGTTCATGTACAGTATCGGCAATGAGATCACGGCTGATCCTAGAAATTCTCTGAGTTTCTCCCTTAGGGCAAGACACCTGTGAGCTAGGTTTCCGACCTAAGGCTGGAACTAAGCTAGGGTCAGCGCTCTCAGACCACAAAGCGCCATCATCGGCCATAGATGGAGAGGAGGCTGTAGAGCTCACATCACTTCGAAGCTCCCGTTGTCGCTGGCAGGCTTCTTGCGAGGCTTGCCCTCCTTGAGCTCTTGGACTTCCTCCTTCAAATCTTTGACCACTGCCACCAAGCTCTCCATCAGCTCTCGGGTGGAGGAGCTCCCGCTGTATTTCTCTGAGGTCACCGAAGGTGCGGCCACGGCTTTGGCCTTCGGTTTGATCGCTGGCTGCCGAAGGTAGCCCATTTGGATCAGCTCCTCCTTGGTGATGCGCACTGGGTTGGCTGTCTCCTGGCTGGATGTGGTGGGACCCTGCTGGTCCATCACCAGCCATGAGGCCAGACGGGCCAGGCGAGCATCGCAGGAGCCCTCTTGTGCTGTCGTCAGCACCCATTTGCAGTACTCTGGCTGGGTCTGTTTCAGCTCCTGGTAGTGAAGAGCTGCATGTGCTCCAAAGCCCACTGGATCCATCGCACTTGGAGGGGCCAAGTGATAGATGGCCATGATGCCCTTCTTCTTGAGCAGGGCAATCGTGTCGTTGGGACTGATGGGCACCTTCAGCTCGTCTCGCACAAAAGTGACCAAGTCCTGCTTCTTGGTGCTGGCTGCATTGAGACGGATCATCATCTGCCTCAAGGGGGTCTTTTCCTTGGCCTTCGGGTTTGGATTCAAACCTTTGGCCACTCGCAGTTCTTCCATCCGCAGCTTCATCTCGGCATTGCTCCACGACTGCGGCGGAAGCTCGCCAAGGCTGATCAGCTCGTCCAGAATCTCCTCGCGAGTCATGGCTGACATGGTGAGGGGCTGTGTGATCAGCAGGCGTGCGAGCTCGAACTTGAGAAGTGGCTCTGTCATTCTGCTTCTCAGCTTCCGGTGTCAAAACACTTGCTTCAGAACCAGGGGGGTTATTATTGAGGGAATTAGTAACAACAGTCAAATGAACCACTTCACCACCAACATCATCATCATCATTGCATTCATCGTTTCCACGTTTAACCAAAGTTTCACATGATGAGTTTTTCAACCCTTGTTCAACCAAAACTTCACCTGATGAGTCTTCCAACAGCTGTGCACTACCCGTCCTACTATTGACCTTTCTTTCACCTACGGGCGGAGACGAAGAAAGGAGTTGTCCCTAGATGTAGTCCTTCAGACTGGGCACTGGCGATTGAGCCAGCTTGGACTGGGTGAACCAATCATCCGACAGTGGCAACAGCTGATGTCCTGTACAAGACCTCTCCAGCTCAATGATCCTCTTGGGATCCAGTTCACGGAAAACAATCAAATCTTCTTTGAAATCTACGATTGCGCCCAGGGATCGGAGTGTCTCAATGGAAAACAAAATAGGGCTAGACCCACGATCCAAAGTGTGGACTTTCAACTCACCACCCCGACCCCCGGCTTCCACATGCATCCATGCCGTTGACAAGCAGCGATCGGAACTGGAGTTTCCGAAGCCGAAAACGGGACGCTGCTCACTATCTACATGTCGGAGACCTGTGTCCCCTTTTCGCTGCTGATTCAGTTCCATCAGACGTTCTACTGCCGCTACTGAGCCTAGGGTGCGTGTTGCACCACCATCTAAGATGGCCTTACCCTGCAGCATGGCCTGCTCAGAGGTGACCCCTTCTCGCACGACATTGGCTGTGTCCTGGGCCTCCGAGAAGCAGACAAAGGGTGCTTCTTCTCGAGGCTCAGCCGTTGAAGCATTGTCCTGGGTGCGCTGAGGGCACTGTGCCACCTTATGGCCCACCACGCCACACTTGAGGCACTTGCCAGCAAAGCCACCCGATGTTGTTGAGGAACCACCTGAAGGGCGTGTGCTCCGGTAGTCAGTTCGGTAGAACTGTCTGCTCATCTTCACTTGGTGTTGTTTGGCTCTAGCCTCTTTGAGCGTCTTCCTTCCACGCTCCATCAAGGCCAGGGCCCCTTGGACCTCTTCTTCTGCCGACTCGATCATCATCAAGCCCTCATCGTTCATGCCAGACTGCGCCAGGCCGTTCAAGTCTGGCTCATAGATGTCTTGCAGAGAGTCTTCTCCTGGAACATCTTCTGCAGCCCATGCACTGCCGCGAGCACCCTGGTCTCTTTGTCGTAGATCATGATCTGGCCACTGATTGCGTAACTCCTGGGCTACGCGCTCCACCGAGAAGTCGCTCTTCAAGGCCGTCATCACCATGTTTCTTTCATGAGCTTCCAAGCCTGCGTCCTGGAGGAGAAACCATCCCTGGACAAAGGACGGAAGTAGATCTACTGATTCTTCCACCCATGTGTTGACCGGAGTTGCTGCGGCACTCCCATAGCTTCGTTCATTGTTGGACCAACGGCCCCAATCCCATCCACGGTGCGACCAATCCCCGGATTGCCACCATGACCAGGAGCCTTGCCATTGGTCTTCTTCTCCTTGTTCTTCATGTTCATCAGCATCGTAGTAAGCAGCATCATCTGGTTCAGCTTCTTCAGCACCAGCATGGCTGGTGGTGCTGCTGGCTGCCGGCTCGACCACGCTGCCTTGGCTTCGGGAGACAGTAGTGGGAGCATATCGACGCTGAACTCGGTCCAGCGTCTGGCAAGCCCGAGCATAGACTTCAGCCTTTCTGGTTACATACTCATTCATCCCTTCATGACGGCGCCTTCTGGTCTGCTTGAAGTACTTGGACATGTACTCCGACATCTCTGTCAACTGAGGTTGGCCAAGGTGACGTCGAAGGTGACTGAGGAGGCGAGAGACACCCCCATCATGAGATATCCATCCAGGCTTCATTGCTAGTACGAACCTCCTTGCCGTACCAGAAAGCTCAGCTTGGAGCCGTGGCCCGCACAAATATCTCTTGTGCTGGGCCACTGACTGTTCCCAGTGACTTGCCATCTCTGCATACTCCTGGAACGTTGCTGCATTTCCGTCCCAGCATGGTACACCATCTTTTGACCTTAGGATCTGTTGAAATCCTTTCTCATTTGCTGCCATGTGTTCTCCAGCGGCCTTGCAGCCAGAGATTGTCTTGGAGCCCTGGATCTCAAGCCTCACGCAGAGGCTCCGCTACCATGCATGGCAGCTGCACTTGCACAAGCAATCGTAGATGGAAGCCAGTGAAGGATTGACAAAAGGTATGGCAATGTGATACGGCGAGATCTT